ATCAGCCCAGAGTAACTCCTGCTCCACAGCAACACCTCCTGCACCTCAGTACAGCCAGCTGGACACATGCAGCACTGCAGGAGACCCAGACCAGAGCTACCATGTGCACGGGGTGCTGCCCACCTGCCCCAGCCCCTCCAGGGCCCCTACCTGCAGCCATAGCTGGGAGCAGACGGAGAGCAGCAAGGAACCGCAGCCACTGCTGAGACCAAACCAGCCCTAGGAAGAGCAGCAATACCTACGTCCTTTCAGCACTGATGGGATTCAGTAAAGTCCCAGCAGGACCCCAGGTGCTTCCATCACAGCCCCAGCAGCATCACCACTCCCCTACCCCACACCTGTGTGGCAGTGCCTCCTCCTGCTGTTCCCAACAAGAAACGCTGTCCCTCGTGGAGCCAGAGGTAGGAGCTGCAGCCCTCAGAAGTTGTTTAATATATTGAGATTCATTACAGTTTGATCGATTTCCTGTTCATAAATATTTGCAGAAGCTTTTTATCTTCTTTCTAAGAGTTGCGTTTTTTTCCCCAAGTGCTCAGAAAGGCACCAGAGGATGGAACTGGGGCAGCGGGGCTGGGACAGTACCTGTGGCTCTCACTGACCTTCAGGAGGTGCCCATGAGACAGCTGACAGCAGGCAGTGGCAGGTGGGGATGTGGCACTGCTCCCATGGGGTGCCTGCCTGCCGGCTGCTGGTAGCACTGCAGGAAGGAGCCCAGCGCCACCCAGCAATGGATCAGGAAGTGTTCGTTCAGCTTTTAGAAAGGAATAACAGCATTAAAAAAAGCCTTCTTCTATAAAGTACACTCTGTCCAACGTCCTGTTTTTGTAAGGCTACACCATAATCGAACTGACTCATCTCATGGCATTACACCACAGCTTGATCTAATTTTCCTAATATTTCCCCCCCATCTGTTCCATCATTGCAGGACAAATTGTCACCCTGTGAGTGAAGGACAGAATGAAATGCAGTAGCTGGGGATTGTTTAACTTGTGCTTAAAGTTCATCCTGCTCCTTCAGTGCTCCAGGCAGCACCTCATGGAGCAGCCAGGACCCACTCAGCTGTACCACAACTGTGCCCAGAGCCAGACCGGCACCTGGGGGCCCTCCAACACCAAAAGGTTCCTCTCCAACGCCAAGGCAGAACCACCAGAGGGAATCATAGAATCATTAATGTTGGAAAAGACCCCTCGGATCCCCAAGCCCAAACCCAGTGCACCCCACTGTGCCCACTGACCCAGTGCCACATCTCCACTGCTCATGGACACCTCCAGGACGGCATTTCTCCACTCCATGGACAGCTGCGCCAGCTCTGACCGCTCTTTTGGAGGAGAAATTTCCAGAGCCCATCCTGCTGCTGGCTCCATGCAGTGGGAGCAGTGAGGCCACACGTGGTTGTGCATCCCTGCCTCCAAAGGGGGGGAATGGATTTGTCCTTTCACTTCTCTTTAATTCTTGAAGGGAGCGATTTCTCCCTGCGCTGTGCCCATCACCTCGTGCTGCCCACCACTGTGCCCATTCCCTTGGTGGGGGCAGTGGAAGCTCTCTGTGAGCTCACAGCTCCACGTGTCTCATGGCAACGATTGCCCGCGGCCACAGAAGGTTAAAAGCTTTTCCATTAGCAACTTTGTTGGATGCATTTTGTGGAAAGATAAAGCACCATGAGAAAATAAAGGCTTGTCATTTACCTCTGCAAATAGTTCAGGACTGATAATGAGAATGAATCAATCAAGGCAGATTAATCGTATTGCAAGGCCTTCCGAGCGGGTGAGTGGAAAAAGCACACTAAGCCCTGGCATTGCAATGGCTGCTCTGCATTTTGCAAAAGAGGATTGGCAAAGGGAGCCCAGCCTGCTTTGGCTGAAGAGTCCGATGGTTAAAATGAGCAAGAACCAAAGCACAAGTGAGTGAGAAATGGGTGTGGAGGAACTCTACAGAGGAATTGGAGAACACCGTTGAGACAGGAGCTCTGCACTCAGAGCCTGCGTATCACCAGCTCAGAGCACACACAAGAGGTGGACGTGGGTGACGTGGGCAGAAGCAAGGAAAGGTGCACAGCTGGGCTGAGCCGTGCCTGCTGCACAGAGCGTGCTGCTGCACATCTTTGGTGTGAGGGGAACGCACATCCAAGGGCGAGCTGAAATCTCTGCACAGGGCAGAACCAGCAACTGACATTGGGCGCATTTGTGTTTCATACTCCTGGTATCTGACAGATATCAAAAAGCAGGGCATCCACTCTCCCTTCCCACCAAGAGATGCCAGTGACCTGTGATTACAGAGTTGTCCCTCCAAATGTCAGAAACATCCACAGCACATCCTGTTTACATGGCAGCACCACATGTGAGTCTTTTCAAGGTGGCATTCAGAACCACGTCCTCCTCTCAGGGCAGTGCCCTTCGCACCGGGTGCTCCCTGCGTGCCATGGGAATAAATGCCATCATTTGTTCTTTGCAGGGACTGAATCGCACGCCTTTTTTATCTCCTTCTAAATAGTAAAACATAATGGAACTTGGTTTTTTTGAGGACAATTCTGTCTGCTGTGCATTCAGCACTTCTGAAACTTGTTTTCTAAAGAGTACAAAAGATTGGTGCCAGGCTGCAGAGTCCATTTTCATTTGGGCACTTTGTTTTCTCAGCTAATGCAAAATACAGCGTAATGGCACTAGATGGATTTGCAGCGTTCTGTGCTTAATTGGTCTCTTGTCTGCGTGCTGCTTCCCTGTGTCTGCTGCTCTCGGCTCCCAGCCAAGCCAGGTCTTCAGGGCTGCAGGAAGGCAAGCACTTGTTCATAGGGAAAACAAACCAACCCACCAACCTCTCCTACAGTTTGGCACCATGACTTTGGTGGGGATGCGCCAGGTGCTGAATGCACCCCAAAGGGCACTGAGCACAAAGGGTGCTGGTGCTCCCCAGTGGGTGCTGGGTGCTCCCCACAGCCTCTCTTGGCACTGAGCTCCCATCCCCAGGCCCAGCTCTGCCCGCACTGAGGGAATTGCACACACAGCTCCCAGGGGCCCTTGGCTGCTCTGGCAGATAGCAAAGCAGCTAAGTGCTCTAAATCTTGCCACTCCTACGGAAACGTTGCTGTCATTAGTGAGACAAACATGAAATGGAAATCACAAAACGAGAAATAAACAGCAAAAAATAATAACATGCTTGATAACTGGGAACAGGAGTTTTAAAGCAGCAGGGATAGAGCAGCACAGCTTAACTAACAGCTTACTCAGGGTTGCCAGCTCAGGAGGGAGCACAGACACAGCACTGCAGGCTGCACCGAGCTGTGGGGCTGCAGGCGGGAGGGCTGAGGGGTCCCTACAGAAGTGGGGCTGCACCTGTGAGCCACCTCATAGCAGCAGCAGGGCCCCCAGCTCGTCCCATCTCAGCCCCACACACAGCACGAGGGCTGGCAGCTGGAACGCACCGTGGGTTTTGTTTCTAAAAACAAATCAAAGCTACCGATCAAACTCTGACACCGGCAGTGTTGCAATTAAATATCTACAGCAGAAACCTGTTCCTAGTGAAATTATTTTCCTCTGCCAACTGTTCAATTTCCCCGTGTAACAAAATGTGTCATCTTTCTGGATACGCCGGGCTGTGCATATGTCACAGCACGGAAGGGTTGGAAAATTTGGTGGCTTTCTGCAGCACTCACACAGCCTCCCACAGGCCACAGCCAGCAGCCACAGTGCAGTATGTGGGCACCTGTGTGTGGCTGCAACAAACAGGGCTGAACACAGGGCCTCGGCCATGGAAAGAGGCAGGAGGCAGCTGGCAAGGATGGAGGCAGAACATTTTTCTTCTGTGTTTCTTTCCATACTTGTTCCATTCATGGTCAGGCAGCCCATCGCCTTCCCTGGTGAGCTGCAAGTTCTTGTGCCCCATCTCTGCTCAGCTCAGCTGCACAGAGCTCGTGGGGCTCCTGATGAGAGTGCCGATGAACACAGCACTGTGGGACCAAATCACCACCCCCATAGATTTAATGCTCCCTGAGGTTCTCAGAAAGGAGCCGTGCCAGGCTCACCGAGCACAGCAGAACCTCAGAATACAGCAGACAACACGTGAGAAACTGGACAGACACAGCGGGGTCAGCAATATTCTGTAAACGGAGAACTGAACTCCAGCTGCCACAGCACACAGCACCCATCCTCCAGTGATCAGAGCTGGTGTCAGAGAAGGTGACTTTCTGATGGAAATGTTCATAGATCAGCTGTAATACAATAATTAAAGGAATCAAATACTGATTTTCTCAACTTCTGAGTTCATCACGTCAGCTCCGTGCCCACCATTCCCTGCCACGTAGCTTCAGCGAGTGCAGCATTTGGCCACAGTGAGGTCTGGGAGGACCCCCAGGCTCAGGAACCACTGCTCCCAGGGAAGGCACAGGTGGGAACTCCTGGGGACAGACAGGATGCTAGTGGGTCACTGTGGCCACACACAGCTCCTGCTTCCAGGCTGGAGGGAGAACACAACTGCTTACTGTGCTCATCCCAAAAGCCAGAGCAATGCAGGAATAAAGCTATTAGTCCTAAAATCATACAAGCATTTGGAATAGAAGTCATTTGATGGCTTCTTTGGGTGTTCGGAGCAGTAACTGAAGAAGAATCAACATGTTAATGAACGTATTTGGTCTTGGCCATTACATTTCATAAATATTTGGTGTTTGGCACTCAGACTCCAAACTCACAGCAGTTAGATAACACCAACCATGCAGCACTCCAGGCAGTTCTGTTCCTGGCTCATTGGGATGGTTTACACCACAGCTCTCCCACCCCCAGCGCAGTGCAGCAGCTGCAGGGAAGCACCGGAGCAGGTCTGTGCTCCTCTGAGCTTCGCACCAGAGGTTTGAAATGATACCACAGTGTTACACGTGTCACAGCAGGAGGACACGCAAAGGAGATACTCTGTGTTGGGCACTCCTGCACCCTGCTGATCCCCCGCAGCCTTCTGCCTCTGCTCAGACACAACAAGAGAAACATTTCCTGAAAGAATTCAGATGCACGCAATTTAAAACTTGTCCCGAGGCACATCTTTACAGTTGGGTATAATTACACTGGCGGGAGCACGGTAACCCAACACCACCATCAGGGCTGTAATAGCGAGCAGTGCTGACACAGGCAGGAAGCGGCAGCCCCACTGCGCTGCTGAGGTCGAGCTTTGTTCTGGGGCAGTGAAGTCCATCTCAGAGCAGTGCATGGGCTGTGCTTGTGCCTCCGGGAAAGACAGCAATGGGCTGGAGAGGCTCGGGGCTCCTCATGGCAGCGAGGGCTGTTTGTGCAGCAGGGCTCCGCGTTCCCTGATGGAATGAGGTCCCTAGGGATGGTGCACCAAATTAACAAGGAGATGCCATTCCCAAGCTTACATTTTTTCTCTGTGATTTCACAATCAGCATTCCAGATTACAGTCTTCTCTTTTTTCCCCCCCACCTCCACACATGGAATTCTCTCCCCTCAGTAAAATGGTACCAATGAAGATCAGATAACAGCCGCGGAGTCACGATGGCAATGAAGATATTCTGTTCCCAGGAAACAATGCAGGTTCTTTTTCTCCTTCAAAGCAGAGAACAGAGGCTTATAATAACGTTTATTAGGAGGTAACCGACAGCCGTTTGCTCTTGTTCTGAAAGTACTCAGAGCTGAGCAAACCTTCCCTCTATAGGCAGACCCTGAAGATGCTGTTTTCCAGCAGGAAACCTTCAGGTAGAAACAACTTCTTTCTTAAGATTACCACACTGTGATGTATTAAGTGAGAGAACAAAAGACAGGACACAGAAGTTGACGCACTGCCCAGAAACTCAGAGATATTATTAAGCTTAACGTTGCAGCAGATAGTTATTTTTCTTGAAAGCATCCCGTTTTTATGGAGCTATTTCTAAAGGACAACAAGCTGTGTTATTTGTACAACTGCAAAAAGCACAACGTGCAACGGGCATCACAGATCTGAGCAGTTTTCCTCACCTGTAGAAGGATGCTGCATTTACAACAGCTCACAGGAGCGCCGTCAACAAGGCTGCTCCAGAAAAAGCCTCTCCATCATGTTAATACCCTGAACAAAAGCACAGATAAATGGCAACTTTACACACAGCTTCAGTACCTCACACATCAGAAAGAGGAGCCCCACAGTACACAGTGACACCCTAAAGAAAAAAAGCATTTTTTGATCCCATATTTACTCTCTGCAGGTTCCCTGCTGCCTGCATGGCACCAAACACCACTGACTTCTCAGAGAGGAACCAGAGAGGACAAAGGACTCTTTGCAGCTCCCACACTGTTCCAAGGTGCTGTGATCCCGCAGCAAATCAGTTATGTCACACACTGTGTTCCAGTTCTGCCCCTGCTCCTTGCTTCTCAGTGCACTCCTCCTTAGAAGGGAAACGCCATCGCTTGTATTCTTTGCAAGTGGTTGGGTCTGCAATGATTGAAGTTCTACACATCAGCAGCTCTATAATGTAGGAAAACAATACTGAACAAAGTCACAGACACCATCAGAGGACCACAGGGTGAGCGTTCCCTCTCAAGAACGGATCTGTGAAGGGAAAAGGAACCGTGAGACAATAAACTGCTAGTAAGGCACCATTTGGGTTGTTGGTTTGTTGGGGTGCAGGGCAGTTCAGCCCCAGGTGCTTCCCACCACCTCCATTTGGATGCACTGAGCTGCTTCCCTCAGGATGGGAAGCTTTGCTGTTTTGTTTGTTAAGTGCTCTTCCTTGCCAGGGCTGGACGTGGTGTTTTGCAGCAAGGCTCTCCTCAGTTTTGATTTGGATCCAAGTGCAAGCTTCAGTAGTGCAAAACAAGCAGCTCCGCATTTGTTGTACAAGCAGAAGAAAGAAAACACTGTCACCGTGTAGAAGAAAACCTAAAGCTTCCCTCCTTGCCCACACCTTCACTCTGCACGCTGAATAGCACCATTTGCCAGCTCTGCTGCTCCACTCTGCTCCAATATTGCAGACATAAGGTTATCTGCAACTGAGATGGGAGAAGGCTTAACCCAAGCTGTTCTCTGCTGCAGCAAAAGAAAAAGAAGGTCTCAGCCCGAGCCATTCAGAGAAAAAAGAAAACCACAAAACCAAGAAAAAAGACAATTAGCTTTAACAAATAGGTCAGGAAAGCTTCCTTTCACATGTCCATAACAAATGAACGGGGTATTTTCAATCTACAGCAACCAGTCCATCTCTCACAGCTTCTCCTCGAAGACAACGAGCTGACTGCCTCGGCCCATCCATCTCAAGGAGAGGTGCCACACTTAGCAGAATAAAGCACTAATTGACATAAGCGAGGACGCTGAGGTTCATCCCAGGGGACTTGAAAATGTTGTTTATTGAATCAATTATGTTCACAGTGTGACAGCTGCTTTTTCTTTTATTTCTCCACAAAGCACGGCAGACTTTTAGGCAGAAAAGTGTTGAGGAAGAAAAGGGGAAGGAGAGGGGAATCCATGTAATGACTAAAAATCCAAATGGGCAGATAAGAGTTGTTACCCGGTATCTTTCCAGCAAGCAATGACTAAATCAAAGCCTAATCAATATATTCCTTTGCAGCTAAAGTTCAAACACTTAAAGCTCAGCCCCAGGAGATCAGGGTTAAAGGAGCCAAATCTGCACTACTTAGAGCACAATGATGCACTCGAAATGCAGAGCAAACTTTGCCTACTTATTACACACCGCACCTCTGCGGCTTCAGCTTAAAAGCTGCTCCATCCCAGAGGTGCTGTGCCTTGTGCCAGGAGCTGCCCTGCCCCGGGCATCCCGCACACTGCTGGGCAGTGCTGGGAGCTTCCTCCACTGCAGACCTGCTGGGATCGCATTCAGTGCACGCCAGAGCCCAGCTGGCAGGACAGAGCACACGGCGTCTTTCGGGCACCCCACAGCTGCACGAACCCTGTAAGGTTTAAATAAGAGGTTAAGAGACACGCAGAAGCACAGTGTTTGAGTTTGATCGCCTGTGTTCCCACTGCCAGCCCACAGGCAGGGAAGCTGCAGGCACAGCACATCCTGCCCTGCTGCCTTTGCAGAGAGCGCACAGCTTCCACCCCTCTGGAACCGTGACAAAACACTTCTCAGTTAAACACTGAGATTGGAGCTCGGCTCCATTTAGCAAACACCACATTACAGCCTTCCTTTACTTTCCACCCCCTAGACATTCAAGTCAAGGGAAAGGAATCTAAAAAAGAAACCAAGAAGTGAAAATGACTGAAATACTGCAACATTTCAGAGACAACGGATAAACTGCACATCTACGTAACAAAGATGCTCTGCTAGAATTGCTCCTTTATCATGCAGCCTTAAAATCGCTCCTGCTTTGCCCTTGGAGTGCTTAACGCCAGCAGAGATCATTGCGACTTCGGAAGGCAGGGACAGATCCGTGTGAGATGGGGCACTGCGGGGCTGTTATGCATTTAAAGAAATAGAGCAGAGAATAGATTTGATGCCAGTAACAAAAAGTGACTAGAAAGATCGCTGTCTTTAAGGTCCAAGAACAGTTCCACGAGCAGTTCACCTGTCCCTCTCATCCCACAACATTCAGCATTTAGCATCGCAGTACACGAGCTCAGCTGCACTCACTCATCCATCTGAAGCTCCCAGCGCTGTCTCCTGCTGCTCTCTCTGCTCCATCCCTTCAGCCCCACACCTCCTGCAGGACACAGCAGTGCTGCTGCTGGGACATGAGGGTGAAGTCTGGGCTCTGCAAGCAGCAGCCTTACTTCTCCCAGCCAGCCAGGGTAGGTGCAAGAGAAGCAAGGCCTGTCTGATTGCACCATTAGGAAGGATGCAAACCAGGTGCTGGAAGAAGTCAGGCAGGCACAGTGGAAGTGAGGAGAATCCTCACCAAGCTCCATCACTCACACAAAACTTCTTTTCTACCTCTACATAATACCTGTTTGCATTGCCATTTATCACTTGTGGGCAAAATGTGTCTCTGAAATAAGCTGTGGCCAAGCCACTACAGAGACCCCATCTAACAGCTTAAAAGAAATGAAATGCATACACACAGCTGTTGCTTACAGGGAGAGCCACTCCAGAGGTAAAACTAAAGCCTGTGCATGTATTCCAGGCACACAGCTCATCTGCATTTTTCTTTTCCAGAGCTCTGCAAACACAGCCAACATTCTTAATGGATTTCTAACACAGCACTGAGCGATTCCGTGGTCGAGTTTCTCCATCTGCTCGCTGTGTGCTGCCTGCAGCCTGCAAGACAGGTTCTGTTACGTGCTGTCATTGCTTACAGTAGCAGAGATGCTCACTTTCACTTTCTTGATGATTTTTTTTTTTTTAATTTAAAGCAAGAAGATGGTACAGCTTTCAGGAATAAGCAGACGAATGAACGGCCATGCTGTGGTTTGAACTCCATTCCCACCTATGGCTCTTGGGGCACAGCTCTCGTGCCAGCAGGAGAGAAGGCAGAACGCTGCAAAGCACACATTAAAATGAAAGTAAATAAGTAGAAGAAAACCTTTACAAGAATTCACCACTCAGTGCTCACAAATAATTAGAGCCACACCTGGACTGTGGACTTCAAGTACACCTGACAAACAAATTTCTCCATTGAAGAACTAAGAAAACAACCAATGGGAAGTGTGGGTTTGTTACAGTTCTGCACACACGGGTTTTGTGAACCCAGCTGTGAAACTGCTGTGTGAAGCAGGCACAGAGAGATGCCTTCACTCATCAGAAACAAGACGAGAGCCGAGGGGGAGGCAAAAAACCCTCATCTACACAGCAATAGAGAGACTTCTCTTGCTCATTCTGACAGCAGCCGCAATTTTTTTGTATTTTTAAAGTTGAGGCACACGATGAGCCCCAGCCCCCCCAGGTCACAGCTGCAGGACTCTGCACATCCCAGTGGCACCACAAACTGCAGGAGGCACTGCTGCTGCTGCCAGGCTGGCTGTGCACAAACCAAAGGCCTCCGAGCCCTGTGTGCCCCACGGCGCTGCTGCAGACGGCGCCCATCCGACCCACGACCCCACTGAGAGACAGAGCTGCTGAGGTGCACAGAACTGCTGCACGAGATGGGCTGCGGCCATTGGAAATGCACTGGGCTGCCAAAACCAGCCAGCTCTGCTGGAGAAAAGCAATGGGATATAAATCACGCGGGCTATTTGTGACTATTTCAGTGCAAAGGTGCTATAAAGCTGCAGATTATTATCACAGTATCAGCTCGTGCAATGAGACATTAGAAAGAAAAACTGTTCCGATGCCTGGGGGAAATCAGGAATAAGAATAAATTACAGGAATTGATACAGACACACACACCATGCTTTAAAAGGTAGTTGAAACAAAGCTATTACCATAATAAAACCAAACCCATTTTTGTTCCGCGTGTTCTCTGTAGAGAAAAGAAAAGGTCAAATATTCTTTCAGTGGTCAGAAGAAAGAAGGAACCCAGACTAAAAATACCAAATTTATTTTAAGACCGGACAATGGGATGGTTTGAAAACATTTACAGTGTAATTCCAGGAAGAATTTCAAGGAATGGATGAACCTACCCTCTTCATGTCTTCTTCTATGATGAACTGAGGAAAAGCTCCCAGCACACAGCAAACCTGAGCAGAACTGACGCTCTGCCTTTCTGTGAGGTTACCCTACAAAACAGGAACAGAACACCAAATTCTGTGCTCAGCAAATCTTCATTGTAAACTCTCCTGTAGAAAATCATTGCCTTGAAGTCTCCGTGGCTGCAGGATGGATGTCAGCAGTGAATGTCCAGCACCAAACCCAGCTATACTGGTCAGCATTACTTATTAATTTTGCTGTTTCACCATTCTAGGAGGAAAAACAAAAAAAAAAGGAAGGTATTGATCTCTGATTGATTCCTGGGCACACAGCTGGCAGCACTGCATCCTCACAACACTCACAAAGAGAAGTCTATTAATGAGATCCAACTACTAAATTATTGACCAGTTAAGTACAGCAAATTTGGCCTAATTGTTTTTGTGATGGGAGTTTAATTAAAGTGCCTTTAGTATAAGAAGTCTAGCAGTATCGTTCAGGTGTTGTCAGGGGAGGTTTCAAAATGAAAGCAGCAGCAGCACCCAGCTGGAGCACAGGACAGCCATGCAGTGCCTGAGCAGAGCCGCTGCCCTGCAGGAACCAGCGTGCGCCAGCAGCGCCCAGAAGGGAGAACAGTGAAATTAACCAAAGCTGTGACAGCTGAGAAATATCTTCCTCAGTGCAGGTCCCCCCCAGCTCACAACCAGCAGCACGAGGATTCACAGCCCGCGCCACGTTCTGCTCAAGCTGCACACTTCCAGCAGTGCTCACACAGGGCATGGCCTCAGCACGGCCGCGTCAGCCCTCGCAGCACCGTGTGACCTGATGCACCAGCTGCCCTGCAGGAGGCTGAAGCTGTTGGCTCAGACACACGGCATGGTTTGGGACTTCTTGCTCTCCTCAACTCACAGTGCCCTGAAGAGCTGCACAGAGCTGCTGCTGAAGTCTGCTGGCAGCACTTCGTGGGAGAGGAACCAAGCAGCTCCGTGCACAGGAGGTGTCCCTCTGTACTCAGTTCTCATCTCTATCGTGGCGCTCTTCTCTCTTCAGGGGCACAATGAACAATTTCTCCACTAATCAGATCACTCGAGTCTCCTCATGGCGAGTTCTCTTATTTCTCTCCAGTGCAAGCATGTTGATATTATGCCTTATGCATAATTCCTGCCTCTATTCAGACGTGAACATCACCACAGGCATCCACGCAGCTGAAGTCAACCTGTTTCCAATCAGTGCACCTCAAATCCCCTCTCAGCTGCACAGGCTGGGGGAAGCAGCATGGCAAACATCAAGGACAGCCCCAGACCAGGGCAGCCAGAAGCAGCTGTGGGCTGCTGGAGGAGCGGGGCACAACTCTGCACCAGCAGCACCAGCACCCAATGCTGATGGGAGGAAACGTCCCCCCCCCAGAGCAAATGCTGGCTGGGCTCTTGCTCTGCAGGGCTGCATGGTGGGGGGGTTCCAGCAATCCAAACCAAAATGGCTCATAAACCAGGAGGAGCATATCCTCAAACAGCAGAGTCCCACTACTGGACTTCTAAAAACACCTGAATGAGAAGGACTTGAACTTTGTCAGATTTATCAACCATTCTTGTAGCAGCCACATGGGCCCTGCTGGACAGCAGTGCCACACTTCCCAGGGAACAGCACAAGGCAGAAGGAGCAACTAATTACAAGACACCAGAGCACAGTAAGAACTAACGGGGTTGACATCAGCAAGAAACGAATCATTTTTAAAGACAGTCTCATATAACATACCTGCTTATTCCACTGCTGCAGGAATTAGGAATTCCACTTTAACCCTGCCAGAAACCTGCATGAAGACATTTCTGTGCTCCTCTCTGCACAAATACAGATGCCTTACTCCCAAGCAAAGTCCCATGGCAGTTCACATCTCTGAGGCCCAGCAGACCAAACATCAGAGAAAGAAAACTGTTTGGGAGTGGGAACGCTCCCTGCCAATGGCTGGTAAGCAGGAGCCAGCTGGTGGTTTTAACTGCTGGCCAAGCATCTGCTGGTGGGCATGAGAGCAAAGCAGATGCCCTGGTTGTGCTGGAGCAGCAGGGCAGACTTCTATGACTGCACAACAGCACATGGAAAATTAATTTCCAGCCATTCCTTGTGCTCTGGCCAGAGAGCCTAACCCAGAGCTTGAAGGCAGCAGCAGAAAGCTATGGGACAGCAACCAGCACTGCTTTACATGCAGTCAAGACAAAGCAAAGGAAATCATTACTCATCTCAAGCTCTCAAAAGGCAACAGACAACACTGCCCAGGGAGGGGGAGCACAGCAGGCACTCAGACCCTGGCCAGTTTGGGTTTTCCAAGCTCTCCTTGAAGAGGGACGTTCTCATTCAGGAACGCGTGCTGTGTCCGTGTGAGATAGGTAGCGAGTTTGCACTGCCGTGTTTCTCTGCTGCATACAAAGCCAAGTTTCCTCTTCTCACAAACGGTGAAGGACGGGCAGCCACTGTAGGACACACAGGAGTGGAACACCAAGGGACCGTGCCCTGGGTTCCCACATTTCCTACAGCCTGTAAGGGCTCCTCTCACCTCCTGTGCAGGGACTCAGGATGCCACACACAGCTCACAGCATGCTAAAGGCCCAGTGAGAACTATTTTAATTCCCTCTGAGCTCCACTGCAGAGCGGCTTTTTGTAAGAGATGTAAAACTTCACAAAATGAGATCAACCACAGTCAGGTATTAAGCTTTATGACTTACCTGAACTTCTCCAAATTATCATCTTTCTCAGGATTTCAGGGATTACAGCCCTGCATGTCACAATGCCCCTCCGGCAAATAATCCCCATGGGCAAATCTGATGATGAAAGTACATTAGAAGTGTTAAAGAAGCAGATATTAGCATCTTTTAAATAAAAATGGAGACATTGGAAAACCTCACCAGCACAGCAGGCGTGCGAGCAGGAATGCTGGCAACAGATTTTTATTGCTTTGAACGCAGCCTTGTCCTCTGCTGCTCGGGGGCGGTGGGCAGGCAGGGCAGCAGCACTCACTGAAGCTTTCCCTCATTGCTGCCCACAGCCCCATCCGTGTTCCCCAGCCCATCCCTGGGCAAACGCACTGCGATCAGATTTACAGTGCTGTCCCGTCTCATTTATTACGCACTTATTTCTGTGCTGAATTGGACCCACGACAAGAACAAAGCCATCTATTAGGAGACAAATTACAGTTATTTTGCATCTCCAAAAAATGGCCAGCTTTTAGAACCACTTTGTCTTTTAATATTTAATGACCCAAATGAAGAACAGAAACCTCAGGACTGTGCAGAACACGAGGCCAGCTGGCAGGCAGCCTGGGTTAAGGACTTGTCAGGGATAAAAGCATGTTCTCCAGCGGCACTCGGCTGGGTCTGAGAGATGAAAACTTTATGGAGCTCAGCTTTCAGAACTCAAATACATCACATCAGCGATACGAAGCATCTTCACAGAGCAGAGAACAGAAGAGCGTTCTCCAGGATGAGTGCTTTTCTGCCTTGAATAGAGCTGCCACGGCAGCACTGATGCCCTGCTCTCTGTAATCTCAGAGCACTCTCACTGACTTGCTCACAAAGAGCGCAGCCCCGGAATGAAGGGCCCTGCTAACTGTAGGACAGAAGACACCCCCAGATGTATGACAAGGAGCACCCACAAGCACTTGGGTTGAATGGGAGGCAAGTTCTTATTCCACTGCCAATAAGAATCTCATCACTGGCCCAGTATTTGAAAGAAGAGAATTATTTTCAGGGATAGTCATACGGCATTTGATCTCCACAGTGCCATAACTGCTTAACATGTACCTTAGAGAGGCATACTACTTTACATGCCAAATATCTCTTGCAAACTCAGCAACTGAAACACAACCCACACAGTATCACCGGGCCTCATGTGACCGCTTCCAACCCCAGCAGATTTATTTCCCATCAGTGCAACTGGGAAACAGCAACACTTTCATTGTTTCTGCAGCCAAAAGATGCTGTAGCAATTGGACAGACCGACATGATGGCAAATGGAGTTTCACCAGAAGCGTAATGATTTCACCGTGCAAGAAAGGTGCTATAAGGGAAGAAGATTGCTTACCCATATCAGAAGATTCCAGGCTCACAGGGGAAAGCTCCACCAAAGAGGGATCTCCAACCAGAGATCCTTCCCTTCTGGCAGTCAGCCCTTAAGTGAGGTCTAAGAGAGGAGCAGCCAGGCTCCATCCCTCCCTGTCACACAGGTAAATTGCTGCAGCTGTGTTGGTTACTGACCTGACCGGGTCCTTTCCCAGGTGCTCCATCAGTGGTGCAGGCCAGGACTCAGCAGTTCCCCTGCAGATGCTTGTCCATGGGACTGCCTCACCAGGAGAGAAATGCACAGCGCAAACATCACAGTCTGTCATGCAGGAACAGGGAATAGCCCTGCTGCTGAGGGGATGGGGCTGCAAGGACCTTACTCCTTCTGTGGAAAGCAATCAACACTCATCAATAATGAAATATAAAATTTAAAGCATATGAGAATGTATTGAACTCAGTTCTTAAAGGTTACTGTATTGCCTATGACGATAAAAATGCCAGATTGAAGAAATACTGAGCACCAAATAATGACCAACGTTAAATAATACGAAGCTTTAGAAAAGGAAGAGAAGTTGCATTTAAGACCAAATCAATCTGGGTAATGCAGTGACAAAGTGCATTTATGGGAGATCTAAAATTCCAACACAGCAAAACTTTGGCTTCTGCGCTGACGTTCGGCTCCAGCACAGGCTGCTCCGTGCCCAGCTCTCCTGCCTTCTATTGCTGCAGATCACAGGTTGGCTTTCACAGCACAAGGCTCTCCCGTCCCGTTGCTCGCAGGCTGGAGGCTTCTCCTCGTCGTTCTGCTCTCAAATGGCAGCAGCCGCACAGCTTCATTAGCAGCGCAGCGTACACACAGTGATGCCCAATCGCGTGAAACAGAGCCATCGACATAAATCTTCAGCTAAATAGCAGGCTCTATTACCCAACTATTTAAACAGAAATAGACTCAATTTCCCGCACAGCACAGAGAAATAAATGATATTACGAGTCTGCGAGCAGAGTGGCGGTCGGGCGCCCCCGGCAGCGCCAGAACCCCGCAGGGAGCACGGCACGGCACGGCACAGCCCCGACGTGGTGCCCGCTGCCATCGCTGTCACACCGGACCGCTGCTCCTTTCCCGGCTCCTCGCGTCGTGTGGCCGAGCTCGGGCTCCTAGAGCTTGGGTTCGCACAGAGCCGAGAAGCTCCTGCCGTGCTTAACGTGGGCTCGCAGCCATCCGCGCTCCCCGGCTCTGTCCGCAGCACTGGGCCGCTCCGTTCCGTTCCGTCCGGCTTCGCTCCGCTCCCCCCGGCCCGGGCGCGGTGATGGCGGCGGCCGCTGCGGATGAACGCCGCCCCCTGGCGGCCCCGGGCGGGCAGCGCCGCCTGAGTCCCGCCGACGTTCGTTCCCCCTCGGGATGCCGGAGCTGCTGGGCTCGGCTCGGCTCGGCTCCCAGCAGAGGGCTGCCCGGCCCATCCGCTGCTGAGCAGCTCCACGGAGGGCGGCTGTAGATCGGCCCGCTTACATCTGACCCCATCATTGCGAGAGGTCCCCAAACAAATTCTCGACACTGCACCACAGAGCGACCGTCTTTAAGCCATCGGTACCACAGAAATGACATTTTTTTCAGGAGTTTTTTGAGCCCACTGCACGGATGCAGAGCGCCACACAGAATTGCAGAACCACTAAGGCTAGAAAAGACCCCTCGGATCACCAAGCACGACCCCAACCCACCCCCAGCACACACACTAACCATGTCCCCAAGTGCCACAGCTCCAGGCTCTCACACACCTCCCCTGCGCTCCAGCACCAGAAGTGGCCGCTCAGGACAGAGCCCTGCACCGGGCTGCCCTGCGGTGCCCGAGCACAGCCACGTTCCGCTGCATCCCATCCTCCACCAGCAAAAACAGACAATTAAAATCGGTAATTTCTGTTCTCATTCGCTCTTCCTGCACATGTATCGATTGCTTTCCACAAGAAACAACAAACAGAATTGATTCCATTACTCATTATGCTGAATCCAGGGAATTAAGACCCCTCATGCCTCTCCTAATGGGAATGTGTGCCATCATTTATCAGAAGTAGCAGTTTTCATCCGCAGCGATGTTTCTTAGAAGTTACTTGGGGGAAATAGCAGGCCTTTTACAGCAGCGCTCTGTTCAGCAGCAGAAAGAAATCACTGCAGGTTACACGTAATGATTTGTATAAAAATGAAATATTTCGAAGCAGAGAAGGGCTGATTTTACAGCAAAATCAAATGGAGCCCACATAAATCAAACTGACAGCTTCAAAGACTTGCAAAATATAATAGCATTTAAATGCATAAATATCCCAGTTCTTTCTTTTTCAACTCCAAGGAAATGAAGTGGTGACACTGCAAAATCAGCTGAACCTCTCCAGGTTCCTTCACGTTGTGACTGTGCTGCAGAGGTGGTGGTTGGGAATAAACGGGAATTTAAAACAATACTCCAGCAGCAGAGGCGCAAACGCTGCGGTGCAGGCAGTGCGAGGGGTGCGAGTGGGCAGGAGGGGATGGACGCAGCCCCACGAACAGCCCGTGTGACTTTGTGCTCTGAGAACAGCTGCGCCTCCCTGCAGCACTCCGTGCTTCCACCCACAGAACCCCGGCAGGAAGAACAAGAGCAGGAGAGCTGCAATCAGCTTTAACTGTGGCGTTCTGAGCAACTGTGGCAATCCTCTCTTCAGTCATGCAGAGCTCCTGCTTAAAAGCAAGTGATGCACTTTGCTGGCACATGGAAATGAGGATTATTTTAACCTTTCTGCTCTGCGCCTCTGGCTGTCATAATTAGCCTCACTACTCACCTCCAACTGCCCTTCTTCGGTCCTATAGAAATTTAACACTGAATACGATTTCTGTTCGCGTTTCTATTCCGGCTCGTGTGTTCCTCAATGAAATAAAGCAGTCCTGCTTCTCCCCGACCTCCAGCTGCCGAGCAGCCAGGAGACACGGCAAAGGGCAGCCCCTGCCGTCCCTCCCAAGTTGGCTCAAAGGTTTCCAGCTCTGTTTCAGAGCACATCCACAGGCAGCCATAGCGTGGCAGTGTAAGCCGGGCTGTCAGCGGGCGCGAGGCCCGAGCGGGGAGCCGCGGCCCAGGACTCCCACAGCAGGACAAAGGCCATGGAGTTTGCTTTTTTTTTTTTTTTTTTTTGGCAAGAGAGAAAGAGAGAGAGAAAGAAAACCTTAAATGTATCTTTGCCACAGCCCTGTTGTAGGGAAATAAAAGAGCAGCTGTAAATGGTTAAGAGAAACAGACGATCAATAAAAGATTCCAGACTAAGCACGTGTACCAAAGTTCTGGCATTTCGGCCCATGAGGAAATTTGGATTTTGCCCGGGTAGGGCGTTCACACAGAGGACATCCCGGTTCCCGACAGGGGCCACAACGGCGCCGCAGGGACCCTTAGCGAGGAGCTGGGCTCGGCGTCCGACCAGCAGCCCCACATCACCGCCTTTATGTGCCACCCACAGCCCGGCCGTACGGCTGCCGAGAGCAGCGCAATCACCGAGCAGGCAGCGGTGACCTCAGCGACGAGTGCTTGCATCAGCTCTGCCGTAGACATTGAAGGATCAGGCAGCAGCTCCGCCCGCTGCTTTGTTCTCACCGCAGAGCTTTGATGCCGGCCCGCAGGGATCAAACGGCCGCTGCGGGGCTGAGCGCCCCGGTCGCTCTCGGAGCGGCGAGGATTCCTCTGCCCTCACCAAGAGCCGAAGGGCTGCGGTTATTCACACTGCAGATCCCAACGCGATAAATGGAGCGGAACGAATATCAGCTGCATTTTTGTGCGCTTTGTTTGAAAATTACATCATTCGTCCCAGCTCAGAAAATCCAGCGGCCCATCAGTGGAAGCCCGAGGGCTGAGAGGGCTTCCAACCATTGAAACAGCTTGGAGAAACCTCGCAGCCATCAGCAAACAGAAAGCTGGCAGCGAGCCGGGCCTGCAGCCTCAGCGCGGCGCAGGTGGGCAGCGCTGAGCTCATCGGTCTCACCGGTACGGCGCAAGTGAACGCAGCCTCGGCTTTGCTCATGAATATGCGGCGCCATGATTTAAGGCTTCGGGGAGAAAAAAACACACAGCGTGTTTCCCCCATTTGCTTCCAGCTCCCGAATCCCGCGCATTCTGCACCACCAGGGGCAGCCTGCAAAGAGCTCAGCATCACTGCTCCACCTTAACTAATTAGAGTTTACCTTCTGCAGATTACATCATGGGATTAATATTGGGCAACTGGAGTCCTGCTCGCTGCCAGCCCGATCCAGAAAAAGTGCTGAGCAGTGGAGAGGGGAATTTCAGTTCAGCACTTCCTCCTAAGCAGGCTAAAAGCTTATTCGTTCCTAGTTGAATAATAAATTACTGTAAGTTTCTATGGCTCCTGATTTGGGAAAAGTTTTCAGTTTCCCCCCATAAGCCAAACCTTAAAACAATCGTTGTGTCCATTAAAACAGACGTAAGAATCAGCAAAATCTTCAGGAAAAGTTCGTGACACCACGAGTTCAGAGGTAATTACAGAAGATGGTCTGACTTTAACGTGCTCTGCAAATTAAAGCCCAGAGGAGGCACCGCTCTGTGCTGCCGTGGCGCAGACCCACACCCAGCTGTGCCCATGCTGCTGCCTGCTGCTGCCACAGCAGTGCTGCAGGCACTGCCCACGCTGGGCTCCCGGTGCCAGGTGCAGTCCTGCAGGTCTCAGCCCCCACGTGCAGATCACATCACATGGCTGTGCATTCGCAGGACGGGGCTCCGATTGAGCAAATGTGTGCAAGAGGAACAGCGTGGAGCAGAGGCGCTGCGTTCGTATTTATGGCCATCTCCCGAATCGTGCTGCTCCCATCTTTAAAAAGTCCCCACGAGAGCAGAGCTGCTCGAGGTGAAATAATGCAAAGCTCCCCGCAGCCCCGGGTGCAGCGCAGCTCCGTCACGCGGCGCAGAGCTGGCAGGGCTGCACGCCGCTCTCGTTGCAGGCTGGGCAGCGCAGAGCCCTGTAGGACTCCTTGAATCTGTTTGCCAGCATTGAAAACTTGCTGCCATGGCACAGCGAGCAAGGAGCACAGCCTGATCCTTTACACTGGGAGCAGGTGCGCTCAGCACCTCTTTCCTGCAACAGAAAGGTCATGAAAAATGCTGTTATTCAGCATCAGACATGAAAGTCAGTGAATACCTGGGCTGCTTTCAGCTTCTGCAGGGTCCTCCTGTGAGCGAGCCCTGAGCAAGGCTCCAAGCAGAGCATCCCAGCACCCTGCAGTGCACACAGCAGGGTGGTTTGGGGCTGGCAAAGCTGCAGTGCTTTGTATTTACCCTGCATGACAGCATTTGTCTTGTGGGATCGAATTGTGGTCGGATTAATTGGGGTTCTGACCAACAAAGTCTAACCCGTGAGAACATAAGTGGAAGGCACAATCTCGTTTCAGCTGATATTAAAATTTTAGCCTGGGGAAGTCTCAGCCACACAGCAGCTGTGTTTGGTCTCATCAGGGTGCAGAAACTCAGTCTGCTGTCAGTGATGGAGGACGGAGCTCCGCCACACTGCTGAATGTCAGTGACCTCCAAAGGAGAACCAAGCAGGAGGCACGAGGGCACTGGAAGCAGAACAACAGCTGAGGGTGCTGGCTGTGCTGCTCAGTCACATCCAAGTGAGAGGAACAAAGCGATGCTCCTAACCCAAATTTAGCTGAAGTGACAGATACTGACAGAGATGGGGATGGACGGGAGCACTGAATGGTTTGACCAGAACCAGGAAACAAAAACACTTCCCGTTTTCTCTTACCTGCACGTACTGGCTGCAGACAGCCTTCTTTTCCACATCCTTTTTATGCCCAGCACCAATTCTTTCTCTCCTCTCCCTGTACACAAAGGCCCAGTCGCTCACCCCCTCTGTCTGGATGATCCTTCTCATGAGCTCTCTCTGGTCCATTGGCGCACGGATGATTTTCAGGTTGTTGGTGTAGATGATGATCTGACCAAAGTCAATAACTGGGGAAGCCTGCAAGAGGATCTCATCAGTTTCCTACCTGTATAATATATGCTCTGCAAACACGTTTTGGATGGGGAAAGCTTCCCAGGATGGAAATTCTCATTTCAACCCAGAAGAAATGAAAAATGCACAATGCTCAGAGCAGCAGAGCCAGCATATGCCAAAAAGCCTCCGCACTGGGGACTGAGCCACGTCTCTTTGAAGGCTGAGCAGTTTGGAGGGGATGTCCAGAGCTTGGCCTGGAAGTAGCTGTTCAGATGATGGTTACCTATTAGGCAGCATTTGGTGGGGTTTCCAGACCTAAATGAAAACTTTTCTTCATAATTTGCTAATGCTGACCAAGTGGTCAGATGGGGTGAAACAATCTCATTACCCAGTGCTAAACTGTGTTCCTGACAGCCAACCTAAACAGCCATCCATGGGGACCCTTGCATTTATATTCTTTTCTAATGGTTTTAAAACCAGCTTTGTTCCAGTCACAGACATTTGAAAGCATCACTTTGCTTTCCCGATCTTTCTTCCCCTCACCTTTCCCAGGTATCACATGGCAGTTACCACATCCTATTGCTTTACCTACTCTTCACATTTCGCCCTGTGTAAATATCCACGGCGAGAAGAGGGGCTCTGCTAACAAAAGGCCGTGCTGGCAGCTGGGCATCACTGCCCCAGAACAGAACCACAGGGGCTGTGAGCACCCGCCCTGCCCACAGCACCAGGCATGGAGTGCCCGTGTCTGCACAGCTGCGTCCCTGCACCGGGTGCACACTGACACAGAGCAGGACCGGTGCTGGGCAGCGAGGTTACTGCAAGTACCAACGGTTAGGGAGCCTGGAGAATGGAGATGAGCGTTACCCAGGAATGCAGAACCAATTAACAGCACAGATAGGATCACATCAGCGCTCTGTCTGGGGCAGGAGAGATTCACAGTGGTTTGATATTTTCGGTTAAACCAGATGCCCAGGGTATTACCTCGGTACAATCCAAGTATCAGCAAGTCAGGGCTCCTAAGGCAAACTTGAGGCTTGATTTAGCACCACTAATTAGAAGGGGGCTTGCTCCGAGACACAATGTCACGGGCACAGCCCTTCTGCCAGCACAAGTCATGCAGCTCTAATGCTTGAAATGCAGCTAATTGAGATAATATCCACCTTACGTTTGGATGCGTCGGGGTTATTCTGTACAGATACTGGGATACAGGGAAATGTTTCATCTCACTCTACAGAACAGACAGATGCAAATCAATGTGGTGAGGACCGAGGATGAAGCACAGAGCAGATGCTGCTGTGCCGATGGGACAGGGCTGTACGGGCGCACATTTAGAACTCCGTTAACAAAGCTGGCTACACCAGAACGAAGCCCCCGCCTGCGGTCCCTGGGCCCACATCTCCACCCGCCCCGCACGTCCCAGGGCCCAGGCCGGCACCACTCACCCCATAGAGCCCGCTGCCGGCGGGGGGGCAGCCGGGGCCGCTCCCATCCCCCCCGCAGCCGCTGCTCTGCGGGGGTCCCGGCGCGGGGCCGTCGGGCGGCACCCCGGGCTCAAAGCTGTGCCGCAGCCGCCGGGATTGCTCCACGGCCGGCGGCTCCAACGCCTGCCCGTCCTCGTAGACCTGCTTCAGCACGCGGCCGCTGCACGCCGACGAGATTCGGAAGCGCACTTTGCGGGGCCGCTGCCCGGGGTTCTGCTGGAGCTCCTCCATGGCCGCGGCGCCGCGCTCGGCTCACTGAAAGCTCCCCAGCCTCCCCGTCGCACCATGTATAATTCAGGCTTCTCGTAGCTCCTCTCATCTTACAGCAAAACCGACACTGTGCGTTAAATATTGATAGAAGTTCACAAAGAGAAAATACCGAGATGCGTGGCAAGTTCTGCAGAGCTCCGGCGAGTGGGAACAGGAGTGCAGAACGAGGAGCGGAGCGAGCGGGGCCACGGCACTGAGCGGACCGCCGCGCTCCGGGCTGTGCCCCGCGGTCAGCGCTGTCCCAGTGCCGTCCCGCAGCTCCCCACCATTTCTGACAAGATGAAATTCACAAGGACAGGTTCACTGGAAAAGCTCTCCTCTCTCACTAATAGGAATTGTGAATAATTCCTCTCCCGTTCCGGCTCTGAAACCCTGAGAGTACAAAGCTCCGTTTCGTTTTAATCCAAACGCGTTTCTCTGCAGGGCGGTGGAGATCCAATTAAGATTTCATCCCCTTTTGCTTTCAGCCTCTATTGCCAGTTCCTGCAGGCTTTGGGCTCCGGCCCCGCTCTGCAGCAGAGCTCCCTCCAGGGGCAGACGGGGCTGTGGGGCAGCAGGAGCAGCCCTGGGGGGCCACAGTCCCCACATCTCCCCCAGCCCCGTTGGGCCCCTCCAGACCAGGGCTCGCCTTTCCTCTTGCAGGGAAAGGAGGGGTGTATTTAGTACAAAATGCATCAGTGGAGCAGCTGCTGGCAGCTCTCAGAGATCCCGACACCTGTTTACACCAAGCACTCACAGCAGGTGAAGGCTCTCCCTTTCAAGCTTCAGCATTTCAGCACATTGCTGCTGCTGAAGGAAGCTGCTTTGACTGGAACCTGAGCGGAGCATCCTGTCTTCATCCTGCTGATCATTCACAACCAGAGCTTTATAGCTAAACATTCTCAACACACCCATTTATTATTAATTAGGAGTTGGCCATGCAGCACCAGGGGGTTCAGAAGGCCCCTATGGCCCTCCCTATGGTGCCACAAGCTGTGGGCATGCAGCAACGTGCACACCTCTGCATTCTCCAGCACCATGCAGTGCCTGTGCCACCGCCTGCTCCACCCCAACATGACTAGCTCACGTGGTGGAGCACTGATCTGCATCCATCAGGCTGTGCTCTCTGTGTACCTGGGAGCCCCATCCACCCCTTTCCCTGACTCGTCCTGTGCCAAGAAGGCCCTGCTGTTCAAAGGCACACAGCAGTCCTAATTGCCACAAACCACACTTTATAAGATACCTTAATTGGAGTTCATTTTCTTTTGATTAAGAGAACAATCAAACAGGAAACAAAGTTGAAAGCAGCAATGACAGCAGCACTGCACATCCACACCAGCAGCTGAGCGGCTCCCATGTTACACACAGCTCAGTGCCACGGACCCACAGCAGGCCCAGAACTCCCATAGAATTCCTTCTGGGAGCCCTGCAGCCACCAGCACAGTGCAGGCCGTGCCAAGCCCTGCTCACAGCACCGCGCTGGATCCCATCCTGCTGAAGGCACAGCGGTGATGCTGCACACAACAGAGGTCACCAAGCTCCACAATCTGCATTATCACAGGGTTATCCCTTTAGCCTTTGGTCCACCGGATTTAGCAGCACGTCCTCCCAGCACACAGCCAGCCTGCACCCCCTCTGCACACTAGGAAGCACCGAATGCTGTTGGAAGCATTCCGAAGGTTTGCAGAACAAAGGCAGGCAGCCTTGCCCTAAGGAGCGTAACATGTTGCTTTATGTCTATTGCAACAACACAGGATACGTACAAACGAGGACAGATAGAGAAGTGGTGGTGAACTGCACTGCAGCTCTTTGAAGACATGTTTCCACCTGCACATTTTGCTGAGAAATGTTTTGTTGCTCTTTGCTCATTTTCGCTTCCTTGGAGCGCTGCGGCGCTCCTCCTGACAAAGCAGCAGCAGCAGCAGGAAGGGATGCAGGCAGCTACTCACAAAGGGATGTGCAGGGGCTTCAGCTGGGCTGCATCCCACGCATCATCACTGCATTGCTGGGGGCGGCAGGCAGGAAGGCAGCTGCAGCCATTGTCTAATGGAGTCGGAGGGGGCTCTGTGTGCTGAAGAGAGCAGGAAGTGAAAGCAGGAGAGAAAGATACCTCGTGGGGTCACAAGTGGGCATCCTTGCAGCTGGCGTAAGAAAAGCTTAATTTTTGTATAAACACTGGGAAAAATCTCACCAGCACTCAGACACCCCTGGATGCACAAAGAGGAAGGTTGTGAGACCTAATGGGGGAGAAGGTAGCGGCATGACCACAGTAAATACGGTGGTGAATGAGGAAATATCAGCATGCCACATTAACAGTAACTGCCTGTGAGCAAGAGGAGGAAGCTGGCCTCCTTGTGCTGCTCCACAGGTTCCCACAGCAGGGGCAGCCCAGCCCCCACCCCCTCTTCCCCTCAGCCTGCACAGCGCTGTCACTGCTGGGCTGCTCTCCACACGTCTGTGCTGCAGGGACCCACAGCACCACAACAGCTTCATTCCTGCACAGCACAGTGACAGGCACGCCCTGTGCTACCAAAGGGGCCCTTGCCAGCAGCACGGCAGCAGCTGCCCCTGCCCTGAGCCCCATCCCATTGCCACACGCAGCATTTCCATGCACTGCTGAGCAGACCCAGCACAGCTCTCCAACAGCAGCTGCACACTGAGCTGCCAGCTGTAGGGACCCAGCCATGCAGGTATCTGCCACCACTCACTGTCACACAGTGGGGGACTGCCCCATCCTTCTCCTTGCCCCAAAGAAAAGATACCCTCATCACTTTGATCTCATAAAGCAAAGAAAAACCATTTCCTTTCTGCATGTGCTCACTGTCAGCAAATCTCCACAGCTGAGCTGCATGAGGAGCAGCCTGCAAGCGCCCAACATGCTGCAGAGATGTAGCAGCACCCCTGGGCAGGATAGGCACCATGCCCACTGACTGGGACTCCTCAGGGAATGGTGGGACAGCAGGAAACTGCTGCTAAATTGCAGTGCCCTGTGCAGGTGCCCCATGCCTGATAGAACCCATCTGCTGCCATCCTGCTGGGCAGGAGCACCTGGGAACATGGGGGGACAGCAACAGCACTGCTCCTGGCAGCTGTGTTTAATGAGGTAACTGAATCCTGACATTGTCTGTTGTCAGCCCTGCATGAGGAACAGCTGAGCAGCACTCAAGGCAACATTCAGAGGCCTTTTGGGCTGGTGCTCGGGTCCATTGCTTCTTGAAAGCTTTTATTTCTTCTCATCTTAAAAACTGAAAATCACCCCCTGCAGACTCAGCCCTTATAGGGTAGGTAGCAGGCAGCAGGCATAGTGCTCCCAGTTTTGTATCCCTCTGCTGCACTGTGGGACAAACAACAGCGCTACGTGGACGCGGTGCTGCAGGGATGGAGCTCCATCGGCAGCTCCTTGGGCTCCCCTCCTTCCCCTCCCCAAGAGCAGCTCCGGTCCCAGACCACAAAGCCATTGCCACGCTGCCTCTGTCTGCATGCCTGGCTCCGCATTCCCACCTGGCTCCACGTTCCCATCCAGCTCTGTGCCCCCACACAGCTCCATCCCCGCTGCAGCCACCCAGCACAGGGCACACACAGCAGTGTGAGTGGGGACGTGGCCGCTGCGGTTCCTCATCCCTGAGCAGGGCTGGGGGGCCGCTCGCCCTCCCACGGGAGCTGAGCCATGCGCTGTGCCTGGGCCGTGGGTGGCAGGAGGACAAGCTGTTAGCATGAGAGCTATAATTTGCAGCTGCTCGCAAATGGCACCCCCTCTCCCTGCCCTCCAGGATCTAAAAACAGCACGAAGGGTCCCTCGTTTCCTGGAGGAGGAGGCATGTGGCACCCACCCGTGCTGTATATAGCGACAGCAGCTTTTTATAAACCCCACAAGGTGCTGCAGCCCATGCCCTGCTGCCCAGCTGCCCGCGCACACTGTGACCCTGCACACTGCTGTGGCCCCACTGAGTGCAGCCCGGAGCTGACCTGGGCTTCTGTAGTTACTGTCTCATAGTCACAAGAACTCCAAATGCTCAGCAGATACAATATGTGGAATTCAAAGCTGATGGAAGGAAATGCTGTTTCCACACTTCTCCTCCACAGTGGCTGACCTGACCAGACAGAACCCTGTTCAGTGCAAGGCTGCTGCTGGCAGGGACTGCGGGGATGAGCTGGGACTGCAGCCCCTGCAGATGGGCACGCAGCCCCTCAGTGCTGCTCCTCTGGAACGTCCCTTGCAGGTTCCCAGCACTGCGTGCTTCCCTGCCAGCACTGGGGCTGTGCACTGCCGCACAGGTTCAGAGCAATGGAGCCCCAGAGGAGCCAGCACACGGCTTCATCCAGCCCAGAGCTAATTACAGCATCAGCATCAAGCACAGACTTCCTAAATGAAAGGGAAGGACCAGCAGCTTCACAGCTCTGCCTTTGTGCTTTAACCCCAGTTATGAGGCAAATGATAGAGCTCTGTGGGACGGTCTGAACACTGAGAAGCAGGAAAGCTGCACAGCCCAGCCCCAGACTGGGCACTGGTCTGCTGACTGGCCTCATCCTTGAGCTCCTCCATGCAAAGTGGGGGGGTGACACGCAGCCCAACGGGCTGAATTAGTATTTGGAAAGCACTTTGAAGATTTAAGGAGTTGTGTAATGCTAAGTGTTGGAATCATCCATTTTTTATATTGCAGCAAAGCCTAGCGACTGCAATCAGGATCAGAGCCTCTCTGTGCCAGGCAGGGCAGCTGGAAACTCCTGGGCAGGAGAGCGGCCACCCTTCAGAGAGCCCCCAGACACTGGAGCTGGTTCCTGGCACCTGGCACCCTGCTCCTGCCCTGGCCTTGAGAGCCAGCACAGATAGAACCCAGAGGGAGCGCAGCTGGGACTGGCCAGGATGTGGTCAGGATGCAGCTGGGATGTGCCTGGGATGCGTCTGGGGCCAGCTGGGATGCAGAGCAGCAGTGATTCACCCACGCCTGTGCAGCACCCACAGATTTCCATGGAAATCCACCATGGGCAGGAGAAACGTGTGGTGAGGTGTGCAGGCTTCTCGTAGGAGCTTTCAGTCCCACCCATTGACCACAACTAGTTCAAATCAGGACTTGGGAAAAGTTAAAAGAATTTTTAAAGGACTCGTGAACAAATTGCATCTGAGAGCAGCGCTACCTGCGAGCACAGACTCAGCTTTCAGCTTCATCCCCACCAGCTCCCAACTGCCGCCGTGTTTTGTAATTCATTTCCAGTCAGACGAAAATACGCCGCGTGCGTACGAACCACAGAGCAGAAATAGAGAAGCAAATGTAAAAAAAAAACCAACAAACACGACAAAAACCAGACTTCAAAACCTGTTCTCAATATGGCTGATGTCACACATTGCATCTTAAAGCAGCAGCCTGGCACAGGATGTTGCTCTCGACGTCATGCATTACAAAGTGTGCGCTGTCAGCTGAGTGCGAATCAGCGTATGACAGACTACAAAGAAATACCAAAGTAAATGGAGACCTGAGATGAAACGGAGTGAAGTAATTGTTTCTGTGCGTTATCCTGAAGATGTCAGTGCTTAATTGAGCCAAATGGCCGCCATTTGAAAGAAATTGCTCTGACAAAAACACACTGTGCGGAGAAATCATTGAAAGAAGAGCATTTACTGTATCTGCTGAATGTTTCTGGAAATAGCCCTCCTCAGAGAAGTGAAGTGTGTCCTGCACTCACAAATCATTGCATTGTGTGTAAAAGCACCAAATAGAAATAAACCCTTCAGATCTACAGTCGTTTCCTCTAACTCATAGGCTGCAAACACACAGCTGAGATTGCGGCCGTCCCTGCGGCAGTGGTTGGTGCTGCACAGGGAGCTCCCAGCAGGACAGCAAATCCCTCTGGGCCAAAGCCTGGGAGTGCAGTGTGCCCAATGGGCCCAGAAATGGAGGTGTGCAAAATAAATCTCATAGAACTGCACCTTCCCACAGCTCTGGCCCTCTGTGAAAGCCATGCTGAGGGTGTGCAGGTGGAGGTGGCCCAGCGTTTGGAGGGCTGTGTGGGCATCACAGTGCTGCAGGCAACAGCACCCTCCTGGGCATCATCAACCCATCACTGTGCAGGGAGGACGTGGGCACAGCTGGGGTTGCTGGAGCCACCGCTGGGACTCATGTTGGGACACGGAGCCGCGTTGCTCAGGCAGAACAAGGCCAGGTTCTGCCATCGCCAGCAGCACCCCGGGCTTGCTCAAGCATCCGCAGCTCAGAGCATGGGAGCAGCACTGCCGGTGCCCAGCCCTGGCCCAGCTGTGTGTGAGGGGGTTTGTGGCCATGGGCACCCCATGACCGAGGCAGGGAGAGCCCCAGCAGTGAGAAGCTCACACCCCCAAACCTCCGTATTCACACACCATCACCAGGGGAAGTTTCGGCACAGGCGGCACTGCTCTCACCTGGCCAGCACACGGGAGCTGCTGCTCTCCCACAAGCTGTGACTTGAGCCCAGAGCCTCCCGCCCGAGCGCAGCCAGCGCAGCCCCGAAGGAGCCGAACGGGTTGAGTGACTTTGTGCTGTGGGAGGAATAATCTCGCTGAGCTGCGGGAGCTGAGGCTACCTGGCGGGTGAGGACGTCGGCACAGAGTTTCCCCACGTCCCTCTAAGGTAAAACGGGATCGTAGTTGTGTTCGGAGGGCTTTTTATAGAGCTGCTGTCAAAACCGGTAGGCAGAGAGCTTAATTAGGACCGATCTTGGGAGCGAGGCGGTGCATGGGTGTGCGAGGGGCCGCTTGGAGCCGGAGCCGGGAGTAAACAGCTCAGGCTGATCTTATCGGGCTGCGCCCGCACCGTGCCGCGCCGCCAGGCGCCCGCAGAGCAGCGCAGGGCCGGAGCTCCTCGGGGTGCTGCCGGGACGGTGCGCGCCCTGCCCCACCGCGCGGTGCCACGCGGGGCTGCTGGGCACGGCCCCCTCGCTCCTGAATCAGCACTGACTCACCGCAGCTTGGATGGGAGTGCAAAGTAGGCATTTGCAAACGGGCTCGTGAGGCGCTGCCTTGCCATGTAGGTGGGATGCGGTACAGGCTCCAGCAGCCGAGCTCCGCTCTGATTCCTCCTCCCCTCCGCGCAGGGTGCCTGCCTCAGCCCGACGCCCGTGCCATGCGGGCGTCTCCGTCTCGGCTGTGACGGCAGCTCGGTGCCTACGATGGACGACCTGGCTCTGCTCGACCTGCTGGAGTGCCCGGTGTGCTTCGAAAAGCTCGACGCCACGGCCAAGGTGCTGCCGTGCCAGCACACGTTCTGCAAGCCCTGTCTGCAGAGGATCCTCAAGTCCCAGAAGGAGCTCCGGTGCCCCGAGTGCAGGACGCTCGTCCTCTGCGGCATCGAGCAGCTGCCGGCCAACCTGCTGCTCATCCGCCTGCTGGATGGTGTCAGGTACGGGCAGAATGCGCCCCGCTTTGGCTCCGTGCAGCGCTCAGGGCTCCTGTCCTCCCCCGCCTGCATCCGCAGGGCCCCGCGGGGTCTGCAGCTCGCCCAGCACCGGCCGCCCACCGCCCCCAGGAGCCTCACGGATGGGGTAAGCAGCGCCCGCGTTCGTCGCTGTGTGAGCACACAGCTCTGTCCCTGCGTGCCGGGGTGCCAAACTGCCGTGGCAGCAATGCTGCACGGATGTTTGGAGTAAGAGAGATTGTTCTTTTGTTTGCAAATCCGGCCGCTGTTTTCCTTGTGATATTTCTGCTTGGAGCTCATCATAGCAGTAATTGCACTGAGTCCCCGGCTCGGACAAATGCAGATTGCCTTCCTCTTTACACAAACTTTGCTGCTTTTCGCTGGAGCTTTCAGGTCCCTCCTGACTTTCAGGGGGCGTTTCTGATGCTTTAACTTTCAGGCAACTCACTGGGTGTGATAGCCATCAGATCAATCAGTGCAGGGCAGTAACTATCAGAGATGGAGAGAGGCACCTCAGTTTCCTCAGAATTAAAGAGGAAGGTAAAGGGACATTTGAGTCCCTAGCAAAACACCTTGAGATTCAGTGAACTCTACTTTCATCTAGGGAAGCTTTCCTCAGATAATTTTAAAGCTGCAAGCTATTCCTGTCATTTCTCTAACAGTACAAAAGCTTATTGGAAATAATTAGGACGTGGCATGGGATCTATGAAGGGAGCCTACCTCTGCCTGAATTTGGGGTTATATTTCTGAATTTCCTTTTCATTCACCTGCACTACTCTGTGCCACGTCTCTGATAGCCCAGAGCAGCCCTCAGCCCTGCAGACACGGCAGACCTGCAGCAGATCTGTCGCTGCTGTGCCATGGAGGCCCCATGCTGCTGCTTGGCTGTGAGCTCTGTGCAGCAGGGATGTGCTCAGCCAGGGGTCTCAGTGCCACCAGAATGTCGTCCCGGCTCCAAGCCAACCTCCTGAGCTCTTGGCCCCGGGGCTTCCTGCAGGGAAACATCCAGCAACGCACAGAAATGCACAGCAGAGCACATACTTCAGTTGGAGGGCAGCTCGCCACAAGGAGTGCAGCACACAGGTTGCAGCTTTCCTCTCACCCCTTTCCCATCCCTTTACCGGTGCTCAGGATGCTCAGGGACAGCTGTGGGTGTTGCTCTATGGCAGCTCCCTGCTGGCTCCCAAGCGTTCCCAGCGGTCTCTCGCAGCTCGGGGCAGCACACAGCAGGGTGGCATTGCCATGGTCCAACCCTGAGCCAACTGCCAGGGCCACCAAACAGTGGCAGCCCGGAGAGCTGAGGATCCTGTGCTCAGTCCGGAGTCAGCATCTCTCCGTGGCCTTGGTTAAGGCAGCAGAAGTCCATAATGCTGCTATTATTACTACTTTTACTATTATTATTGTCACCATTATTTAACAAGCACTGCTCTCCCAAAACAGAAACCTGGGCTCACAATTATTTTTAGACTTCTTCTGTGAAAAAGTTTGAACTGAGCTGATTTACTTTTCCTCCAGCATCCTCAAGGCTGTGCTAACACTCCTGGAATGACCCCATTACCAAAATCCCAAAGAGGGGGCAAAAGCCCTCACTATCAGCAGTGAAGCCAGCCGTCCCACACTCAGGCAGCTCCCGAGCACTCTGATGTCAGCCCCTGTGGCACTGTGCTCAGACCCCAGGAACGTGGCTGTCCCCACCACCTCATGGGCAGCATGTGGTGTCCCCATCCCCACGGGGTGCATGTGTTCCCAAAAGGAACGGTCTGGGTTGGCTGCAGCCATCCAGCAGTTGCTCAGGGCGTGCTGGGATTGCCGCAGGGCTTCCAGCACTGAGGCTGGGCTCCCACAGGACAGCCGCCCCCAAACAAACGCTTGCTCTATTTTGGGAGCCCAGAGAACAGCTCTCTGCATCCTGCTCCTCCACTGCCGCTCTCCTGCTGCTCCCCGGTGCAGCTCTCCGTGTGCTGGGAGGTGGTGGGGTCTCCAAAGAAGCACCACCCCCACCTGCAGACTGCTGATTGCCATTGGGATGTGCACCACTTCATGCTACAGAGCAAATAAATCTAGCGCCATGCTGCGCTGCAGCCTTGTGCACCATCAAGGCAGGATAGAGGACACATTTTGTTTTACAGAAAAGACCACCTATAAATAAACTTCCTTTACTCCGCGGAGCTGAGAAATCACAAGTTCGAGTGAAGTTTCGCCTCCCAGAGATGCTTTCTTGCCAGCTTGTTGCATGATAAAAACACCAACTAAATCTCCAAAGCAAACCAAAGATCCACACCTCTTGGCATGCAAAATTACCAGCAGCCCCAGCAGAGCTGCAGAATTGCTGGGAGCACAGCACACAGGCTGCAGCCAGGAGCTGCAAGGAGCCAGGAGTTCCAGCTGCAGCCCATCCCAAGCTCTCTCTTACCACCCATCAGCTCCCCTCTCACCGTGCCATGCCCAGCCCAGCTGGCTGCAGGTGGCAGTGCTGCGGGGCGCTGCCCAGGAGGCTGCCCAGGGTCTGCCTGGGCCCCGGGACTTCACCGTCTGTGTTGAGGACAAGACTTTGGATTTTCAGGATCTCCACGTAATAAACCGTCTGGAGCTCAGGAATGAAAGCATTTGCTAGGAGGTGAACGCACAAATAATTGACACCGAATCCTTTGAACTCCTCGGAGCCGCCCCTACCACGTGCAGGATGCGATTCTTGCTGCACCAGAGCATCCCTTTACCCGGCCCCAGCCCGGACAAGTGGGCAGCAGGAGGCTGCATGCTGCAGTGCAGCACCCCCAGCCGGCGCCCACGCAGGGCAGCGACAAGCGGGGGCCAAGGCAAGGCAAGGGCTCTGAGCCCTGCAGCTGGCCAGAACAGCACGCCGTACTGCCTCACCTTCAGCTGCTCCCTGCAGGAACCGCGCGCTGCAGCCGCCCCTCCTGCACGTCGTGGGAGATGGGCAGATAACAGCTCTCCAGGATAAAAATACATCGCACTCCAACGTTGCCACCTTCACATGGGCACTATATATAGAGCCCGCGCTCGGTATTTTCTGCTCCTCCAGAAACATCTCCAGCTCCTTTCTGAATTTGACAGACAGGATTTGGATTGCTGGATCTTGGTGAAACCTCACTCAGAGCCACCCTTGTGGCTGCACCCAGCAGGGGCAAACACATTTCTGACCCAACTGCAAAACCTCCTGGAAGAGGAGAGCCGGTCACCGTGCTGTCACAGGGCTGTTGTGCCAGGCACTGAGCTGCGGGGGGAAGCCCAGCTCCATGCAGGGCCAGCCCGCCCCAGGCCATTTCCACCTGCACAGTGCAGGGCTGCACTTTGCTAAGCGTGGGGTCTGGCGATGCTCTGGGAGGAGAGATTTGCCCCAGTTCACTTCCACTGCTCCTATCAGGGTGACCCAAGTGTCAGTCTTTGCCCTGTTCACCATTGCATGGTTTTTCCTCCTCTGCACGTGGTTTTAGCTTCTTGTGTCCATAGTAGAGGTCAGCCACATCAGTATCCATCACCCAACAATGCATACCCCAGAGAGCTGCATTCAACAGCACTGTGCTCAGCTGCGGCCGTGGAGCAGAGCTGGAGCTACACACAGCGTGGCACCGGGGCATCCATCTGTCCTGGGCAGCGGCAGCCACAGGCAGAACAGCACCGTGGAGCCACGGGGCAGGCAGGGTGCCGGGTTCCCCACGCAGAGCCCACACAGCACTGCGTGCCTCCAGCAGCCAGGCACAGCGGGGCCGGGCGCTCCTGGGCCGCTCCGTGCAGGGCACCGGGACAGCGGCAGGAGCCAGTTTCCCTGGTTCCACAAAATGAGGTGCTGAGCTGCAAATACATGAAAGTGTTTTAATTTGTTACCAAGGCAATGAGTCAGACTCAGATGGCGAGTCAGGAATAGAACAGCAGGATTTCTGCAGGGTAGCGCGTTCACCTCTAAGCGCCGTGGTCAGCGAGGAGGCTGAAAGTCTGAGGCTCTTGGCCGCCGCTGCCCGCCGTCACCTGGCTGCCACTCGGGCACACGCAGCTCAGCACCTGGATGGGCTGTGCTGCACTCCCTGGCACGGGCACTGCGACAGGCACGCTCACACTGGCTCTGCCAGGCGAAGCTCAGCAGTGCCCAAGAGGAGCACGGCTCGAGGCAGTGAGAACACCAGCGCCGTGCTTCGGGCTGAGCCTTCTCTCACTCTGCTTTACCTCTCCTCTGCTCTCCTCACAGGGGAATCTGCAGTGCTTGTCCCTCAGTGCAGCGATTTGCTCTGCTGTTACTAATTTTCAGGTACTCAAACTCCACTTAGCCTCAGGAGCGCACTGTGCGAGGCACCGTACAACTGAGTGATGACAAATTTATATGAAAACTTTCTCCTGGTGACCTGAAAGTGGGTGATTGAGCCATTGATCTTTCCTTTCCTTTTCCTAGCTTTCCATTCCTGGCCTGGGGAAGACCCCTCTTCTACCAATGCCAGCGCCAGCTTGGGCACTCTTTCTGAGAGACAAATATCTTTCTTGTGGAAATCAGATCCCTTATGAGGTTTTCCTTTGGGTTCAGAACAACTGGGAACCCAGAAGTTCTGAATGGTTTTGCAGGGAAGGGAGAGCAAGCCTTGCCTGCTGGGAAACCACATCTGCTGGGATCATGCATACCTTGGTTTCAGAGGCAGTCAGACTCCTTTTGGAAGTGGAAGCACAGGAGGAGGAGAGCAGCTCCTTCATCTGGCTGCAAGCCTGGGCTACAGCAAGTGCAACTAAGGGCGTGTGGGCAGTGATTGTTCCAGGCCTGGCCCACGGGTCAGCCAAGGGCAGCGCATCACACATCACATATGGCTGAAAACTTACTATCACAACATCTGCTAGGCAGAGGTCACAGAGGAATGGAGAGATGCACCATCCTTAAGCGAGCACTTTGCTGAAATAACATGAAAGCAAAGCTGCCATTGCAGGGCAAAAGCAAAGTGCAGAGCACTGGCAGGTTTAACGAGGGGCAAGGAGTCGGCACGGAGACATCGGCTTCCTGCAGCCCCGTGAGCCACCGCCTCAGCCCCTCCACAGCTCTGGCACTGCTGCACGGCCCTGCCCCGCCACGGCCCGATGGGCACAGCAGACAGCACTGCAGCCAACAGGGACACGCACGGGTGGGAAGTGGAGAGCAGCAGTGCTGGGGTTCCTCCCCGCATGGCAGGCAGGCACGGCGGGGCCACGTGGTCCCACAGCAGCACATCGTGCTGGGGCACGCCGAGGGCTGACACATTTGTTTTCCAAGCGGCTGAAAGCCGTGGCGCGCAGCGCAGCCGCCATCGCAGCGTGCTGAGAGCAGCACCAACAGCCAGCTGAGAGCAGCCACGTACAGGGGGGGAACCCCAAAGACAGAGCAGAGCCCTGGCCCTGCTCCAGCTGTGGGTCCCAGCTCAGCCCTCAGCCCCACATCGCTGCCAGCTCTGCCTGCACCGAGGAGCACAGCTCTGAGACAAGGCTGGGCGCAGGTGGAACGCCTGCATTGTTGCATCTTGGCACCGGCTCTGCTCACCTCAAACCTCTCTTGTGGCTTTATATCAGCCAGGTGAAGCCTAATATGGCCTTGTCCTCTGCCACAGCTGCTGCGGCAGCTCCACAGAGCCCCAGGGCCGGGAGCGGCGGCTCTGAGTCACAAACTGCTGCAGAGCCCTCGATGAGGGCTGCTCTATGCCTCCCGACATCGCTGTCCCTATTTCCCATTCCTCCCTGCAGCCTGAAGCCACATCAACAGCAGGCACCGCTCAGAAGGGGTTTGATCCCGAGGGCTGTGGGCCTGCAGGACACGGCTGCTCTCCCCACTCTGCTGCCCCTCGTGTGTGCAGGCTTCTCTGTGCCCCCTCCTCACATCCCCACTCGCCCTTCAGTTTCAGAGCTGTGGGCCGTGTTCCCACGCCTGGCTGCGGCCTCGGGCTTGTGCTTGCAGCCCCCCACACTCACAGCCCCTACGCTTGCAACCCCCCCTGCCCCACAGGAACGCAGACCCGGCCTGGCGCTGGCTGGGAGCGGCTGCTGGCACCTGGCGGGTGGGAGCAGACCTGGGAGGGGAACTCAGAAACCACAGCCGTCTGAGCCGTCAGACGTAATTACCCGAGGAGATGGGAGCGACGGGTTTGCTACGGATGGCTTTGTTCCGTGACGAGGCGGGAGTTATCTCCTCCGCCGAATAGCAGAAAAACAGAATTGCGATGGCAATTAATTTACATTCAAATAGCTCCTTTCATCCGGCCGGAACCCGAAGAGCCCCGAACACCGCGCTGTCACAAAGGAGAAGGGCAGTGCTCGTCCGTCGCACCGGGGGCGGGCAGCGCCTCGCTGGAGGCTCCCGCGAAGGCCGCCGCGGTTGGGACGCGGCGCTGATGGCGATCGGCCTCCGCGCAGCGCAGCTCCGCCTGCACAGAACGGGCCGGGAGCGGCGCGAGGCGCTGCGTGCAGCCCTGCGGAACCGACGGCTGCACGACGAGCCGCCGTCCCGGACCGCGCACACGGCCGACCAGGAGGTCGCAGCGTGGGAGCAACGAAGCTGGAAGATGCCCAGGGCTGGATTTCCTCCTGACAAAGATTGGCGCTGTCCTAGAAATAAACCTCTCGACGAGGCTGCTGGGTGCTATGGGAATATCGCTGCACGGCCCGGATGCGGCGGCGGCTCCGCAGGCAGCGCCCACCCTGCCGGAGCCGGGCGCGAGGCGTGCATCGGCTCTGCCGGCACCCAGCTGGACCCCGATGCACACGTTCCTCTTGATATCTCGGTGCTGTGAGGCTGTGCTCACGTTCACCCGCTGTCAGTAGCGAGGAGGTTATAACGAGCCCATTGAAGATAATTACAGCGCACATTTCTCCCAGCTATGAGGAGATGCTTTCATTCGCTCCCTCACACTCGCATGCATGTATTCAATTTGTGTCTTTGTTTGCTATGGAGGGAGACTCAGACGTCTTGGATGGCTGCCTGGCGCAGCTGATGCCAAATGCCGAAAATAATTAAACAGTTCTCTCTCCCTTCTCAGCCTCAACTCCATCGGGTGGGAGCAGTCACCCACAGCACAGAGGGCAGGGAGGTGCTGCGCTGCTCCTGCTGTGGGTGTCCCCCAGCAGACCAAAATTCTGCATAGTTTTGGGATGCTAAAGAAGCACAGAAGCACTAACATTGACAATCAGAGGTTTGCATCCACAAGTTCTGCAACAAGTTCCCATCCTCCAGGAGCAGTTCTGCCTTCCAGGAGCTCTTGCAGAAGAGCAGGAATTGTTCGGGGCGCGATGACCCCTTCCTCACCCCCCAGGGCTGAGTTCTGCACAGACATCCCCATCCCATCCTGCTCAGCACTCTGTTCTGGCCCACATTTCTGTCTGATTAAAACTAATTTTATAGAGGGTCCGATTGTCCTTCCTCCTGCCGAAGGAAGAACATTCCAGACTTCTCAGCACCGTCGCTTGTTTGACTTCTCCCTGTAGTAACAGGTTTGCATTTCATTTCAGAGTTTCTCTTATTTTCAATACATTTCCATAACTTGTTCTCGGTTCCTTTTATGTTTGGCCTTACTTTGCTGTGCAGCCACTCTCTCATCATCCCCGGACGTTTGTGTTCCTCCTCTACACGCCTGCTTCCACAGTTTGCATGGGTCCTTTTGTTTTGCTCCTAACACAAGTGCTACCTGTGCTGTGTCCTGGGCTGCCCCGTGCTGCTGTCAGCCCCTGCTCCCTGTGCTGCACAGGGCCGTGCACTGCCGTGCCTTTGCAGGGTGTTTCCTCGGGCAGCACTGCTGCTTCTGGACTTCCAGCCCAGGCACTGAGTGGGGATGGCTGAGCGAAGCTCTCCTGAATTTGGTTGTTATGATTTCCCTTTTTTTTCACCGATGCACTTTCAGTGTTACTAAGCCAAGTGCATGTGTTTACTATTACTGCAAATTAACAGACAAGACGAGTCAATTAGAACAAAACATTAAACTAATTGCTTCCTGTTCCAAATGCTTTGAAGAAAATGCAGCACATAAAATGTTTCTCCTCCTGGTTCCTTTCTCCTCCTGTCAGCATTTGGGAGCACTGGAAGATGTTTTCTTCCCCAGACTGCAATCCTTTCCTGTGCTTCTTTGGTCATCCCAAACAAACCAGTGCTGTGTTTTTCTCCCCCCTTCTTGCTCTCCCAGGGGTCCGGGCTGGGCAGGTGGTGCGGGAACCATTCTGGGGAGCTGATGTGAGCCCAGATGGAGCTCACCTGACACAAGATGGGACGTCAGTGCCCAAACACAGCCTGTGCTAAAGTAGCAGAGTTATGTGACCGATGCCCCGGGAGGATGCTGGTACCCCAGCTCTGAGTGCTGCCATCCTAGCAGCATCCCATGGAAGGCAGCTCCATCCATAGGCGCAGCACAGCTCTGCTGAGCCTCCACGCTCCGTGCGGCGGACGAGCCCTGCCCGTCTCCTTTGTGACAGCGCGGTGTTCGGGGCTCTTCGGGTTCCGGCCGGATGAAAGGAGCTATTTGAATGTAAATTAATTGCCATCGCAGTTCTTTTTTCTGCTTTTCGGCGGAGGAGATAACTCCCGCCGCGACACGGCAACGTTACAAAGCACTGAAAGCACGAACAGGGGCTGCTCTGTTGTTTTAGGATGTGCTGCTGTGGGACTCAGCACTGTGCTCAAGGATCTCCATCACTCCTCCACAGCACTAAAAGCAAGCCTTCCAGTTCGCTGATTTCCAAAGGCACGTCTCGGATTGCTCAGCAGAGCGCAGACACACTGCAGGATGGGCACCTGCTGCAGCTCAGCTGCCAGACCCCCCCAGCACTGTGACCAGGGTGGGCCTGCCTTCATTCAGAGCAACGGTCTGCTGCCTGTTGTGTTAAATTGAGTTTTCTGGTGTGGATAAAGGTCAGGAAGGCTGTTATTTTAAACACACTTTATGGGTTTATTTCGATGACGGTCAGGATGCTAAAGGTCCCTCACATCTGCTGATTCTGGCATCTCTCTTCTTTCTCATATCGTACCATAACAACAGTAACATTAAGAAGCTTCTCTTCCTGTAACCCAGACTGAGCACCAAAATCTTAAGGGCTCTTCCCCAGCCCCGTGCTGTTGGGCACCGCAGGTGGCAGCTGCTGGGAGCTGCACAGCTGTTGTCACCTCCACCCACACCAGAACAGAAACACCCAAATTCATTCCAGGGAGATTTTAGTAGAAGGGAACTTGCAGCAGGCAGTAGGATCCCGTGGGATGGCTACATTAAGGCATGAATTGTTCCTTAATATTCTCAGACAAGTTCAGCCTGCTTTTCATCTGGATACACATTTAGAAGAAGTACTTTGGAGCTCGATTTCGTTAGAAAAAGACATCAAGAAAGGATGGGGGCAGTTGGTCGCAGCCAACGCACACTTCAGCCTTGTTGTCCCTCTGCCTTTTCCCACTAATGACAAATTCTTGCCGAGCTGTGCCTGCATGAGCGCCGCTGCCGGCTGAGCTCTGTGCCGTTCCTCGTCCCGCAGGTGCCGCGAGCCAAAGCGCTGTTCTCGTACCGGGGCCACAACCCCGGCGAGCTGCGCTTCAACAAGGGGGACGTCATCGTGCTGCTGCGGCAGCTGGACCAGAACTGGTACCTGGGGGAGCTGAACGGCGTCAGCGGGGTCTTCCCAGCCAGCTCCGTGCAGGTCATCAAACAGCTGCCGCTGCCGCCGCCTCTCTGCAGGGCTCTTTACAACTTCGACCTGAGGAGCAGGGATAGGAGTGAGAACAACGACTGCCTGTCATTCCACAAGGTAACACCGCTCTGCGGGGGCTGCGCGGGCCGGGCCGGTGCTCTTCTTTAGATTGCATCGCATTCAGCGCCACAGCAGCTCTGCGCTGAGAGCCAGGAAGGTTTACAGACACTGACAGCAGTGACTGAAGCCGGCTTCCCCCGGGGGGGAGCGCGGACTCAGAACGAGAGCATCCTGGGAGAGCAGTGTGACCCTGAGCAGCCATTTCAGGCCCCGGTTTGACTGATGGAGTTGATGAGCAGCAGCTGCTGGTGGCAGTTTGCTCTCCCACCAGATCACTGAAAGAGCCTAAAAAGATACCCACTGATATATCAGAGAAAATTGCTTGCAGGTCTGACAACGCTTCTCTTACACAGCCTACTTGCATTGAGGCAGCCTGCTGGAGGCACACGCTGCAGAGCAGGACCTGAACTTTTCCTGTATTTCCTTTCATTCCCCAAAGTCTGCAGAGCTCGTGTTTGCTCTCAGCTGGAGGATATGGCTTTCAGGGCAACTGCACCTCCCAGCAGTCAACTGTCACTGTGCTGTCAGAAGGAGGTGAGGCAGTGCAGAGCACAGCAGAGAGCAATGCCTGGAGGCAGCAGTGTCCCTGCAGAAGCCACCGTCCCTCCCAGCACAGCACAGATGCTCCTGCACTCTGGCCAGCAGGAAGCAGAGGCACAGGGAAGGTGTGGGCTGCAGCGGGTCAGGGCTGAATGTGGGGTGCATGCAGGGCAAGAAGCCAAAGATCCCGGAGTTCCCTGTGCCTCCTGACCAAGAAGAGGAGCCAGAGGGGAAGCAGTGCAGAGCAGCACTGCACGTAGGAGCACCAAAACCTCTCTGGGATGCCTGCTCCAGTGCTCCGGCTGCACCTGCCTGCTGTGCAGCACAGCTCGAGCTCATTCTTCAGAAGCAGAGCTGACTGTTATGCAGACCTCCAAAAATCTTCCATCTTCCTGTGGCTGCCTGCAGCCCTGCAGTGTCCCTGATCTGGCAGCATCCCCATGCTGGGAAGAGCCCCTGCCTGTCGCCCCACCTGCCACCCACCCCCGCCATCGTACTTCCAAAACCTGCACTTCAATAGCAGGAGCAATTTCAGCTCCTGAAGTAATGGGCTGAGGGTTGTAGCAGCGTGACACCAACTGCCCCACCACTCACACTGATCTCTTGCTTGGTTTGGAGCTAAAATGCCATCTTTGTTATTCATTCTGGGCATGGTGATTGCAGAGACGTTTCCCCAAGGTGGGAGCCCCCAGGCAGCACCTCTGTGTCTCACATCCCCTTCGCCAGGCTCGTGCCCATGTCTGCATTCAGCCACGCTTGCACCCTTACACAAAACCCACGCTTGAGCATTGTGCTGAGCAAGGACTTGCGTTTGGGAACAAGGACACACCAAAAGGAGCAGAGGGTTGGCAAGGGAGCAGCACTGAGGTGCAGCATTGTGAAATGTGGGGCGAGCCGCCCGCTCACAGCGCTCTGCCTTGCAGGGAGACATCATCACCGTCATCAGCAGAGTCGATGGCAACTGGGCCGAGGGCAAGCTGGGCGACAAAGTGGGCATCTTCCCTGTGCTGTTTGTGGAGGTGGGTACAGCCCTGGCATGGGACTGCAGTGTGGGGAAGGCGGGGGCAGAGCATGGGCAGCAGGCAGAGCCCTCACAGCTGCGCTCTGGACACAAATTTTGCTCCTGTGGTGCAGCTGCAGAGTGGGAGTGTGGCACCAACAAGAATTCCTCGAAACAGAATTAACACTTATAATCACCATAATTACAGCAAACACATCTTTGTGGCTGTTTTATAAAAGGGCAGCAGTAGAACATCCTGTTTGAAGCTCTAATATATTTGGTAAAGCACCTTTTCATTTAATTAAATTGTTTTAACTCATTTAAGCCTGACGTTAACAGAAATGAGCCAGGCAGGGCCACGCAGAGCCACCAAGGAGTTAGGAATTAACCAAAGAGGAGCAGCGATGTGTCTGCTCTGAGAGGCATGGGGCTTTCCTGGCTTTGATGCTCCCATCCGTGCCCTTTAATGGGCCCTCTGCTCTTAGAGAAGGCAGAGAAGTTGGGCTCTGGCTGCGGTTTAATTGCACAGAGAAATGACGCTATGACCAGCCTGTATATGTGCATGTGCACACATGATTCTTTTTAAACCTCGCTGTAAGAAGTGAGGAGGAAGGAAATGAACAAACAATCCGTGCAGCAGAATGACAGCACTGAGCAGCAGCTCCCTGCCCCACGCCAGCCGCTGCCATTCATCCCCAGCCGGGCGCATTGCCTCACATGAGTGGGTGAGAATCTCCAAGTTTTGCAATTTGTTCATGTCAGCAGTAAATCATGATTAATTCCTCTGGCAGTCATCCTGGTGAAAAACACTGTCACCACATGCCCTTTGTATTAATGCTGTAGTGATCAGCAGTTTCCAAGAAACACTGCTTGAACGTTGCCTCTGTAAGCTCAGGGCTGGGCCCTTCCCACGAGCGCTTCCAGTGCCATGGGCTGCAGGGGCACAGCGGGCTCCAGCCTTGCTCGGAAGCCGCAGGCAATGGGGGCTCGGTGGCAGCTCCCGGCTGTGTGAGCCGTGTGTTTTCCAAACCAGTTTTAATTTGTCTGCCAGCCCTGCGCTGATAATTCGGTGTTCAGAACTTGTTGCTGAAAGCATGGCGGGGAAGCACTCGAGCCCCGTGTTGCACAGATGCCCACGAAGCCGCCTGCGTCCTGCCTGCAGCCGTGCTGCTGAGGAGGACCCGCAGCAGCCCCTGGGCCTTCCCTGTGTCTCTTGCAGCCAAACACGACAGCACGGCAGCTCCTGCAAAGCAGCAAAGGCTCCTGGCCCACCCCGCTCCGCTGCGCACCGCTGAGCGCAGCCTCCCCGAAGGCGCAGGGCCGGGAGCTGCACAAGGCGCCCGACGCGCGGCGCAAGAGCCTGCGGCCCTTCTCCATCACCACGGCCCTCAACACGCTGAACCGCATGGTGCACGCCCCTGCCGACCGCCCCGCGCTGCGCATCAGCTCCCCGGTGCTCATCAGCTCCAGCAACCCCAGCGTGGCCGCTGCCGGTAGTGAGGATGCGGCCCGTGGGACCCCCGCCCAGGTGAGGCTGCAGCGGGGTGGCGTGGGGCGGGCGGCCAGGTGGAGGGCATGCGATGGTTGGACCGAGAGCGCCTGGGGGATTACGGCTCAGCGGGCTGCTGGGGACACTTGTGAACAGGGAAGGTCGGTTCTTAGAGCCCAGGGAACCCATGGAAAGTAAGGGACTGGAGTTCCCTCCTCGGAGGTCTCCAAAGCCCCTCGACGTGGCCCTGGGCACCTGCTCTGGGTGGCCCTGTTGGGGCAGGAGGAGGCTGGGGGGTCCGTGGGCAGTGCCATCGTCCTGAGCCCCAGCATAAAATCCTGACTGAAGCCCCTGTTTTGGGAGAACCCATCTGCTGGGCTCTCCTTGGAGGCCGCTGCAGGGCAGGCTTCTGCACGAAGGACAAATGCAACAGTGTGAGAGCACTTGCAGGAGCAGTGCCCCACCTCCTGCTGCTTCCAAGCAGCTGTGTCAGCCCTCCTGGAAGTCGGGGTTGCTGCCCTATCCCGAATCCACTGCTGCTGCAGCTCTCTGCTTCCAGACTGATGGCTCCTGCACGCTGGCAGTCCCTGGGCAGCCCTCCTGCTCGCAGCCACCCAGGGGTGCAGGCTGACCCTGAGAGCGCATCCTCTGCTGGCTGCAGAGGCAAAGAGGCAAAGAGCCTCGTTGCTGCTTCGTGCTCTATCTGAAGATCTCAATAGAGGATCTTCACAGATCATCTGCAATGGGAGGAAAAAGGTTCTGTTTAGATTTATGTGGCATCTTTCACACTGAAGGCTGCTCCAACATTTTATAAAGCAATAAGCCAGCCCCCGGCACTTCGGTGTCTGCACAATAAAACCCAGCAGGTATTTTGTGCTTAGCATTAGCCTGCAAACAGCCCTGGATATTAGGCCCTCTTTTATGTGAGTGGAAATGAAGCCCTACAATAGAACCATAATTCAATTGAAATGGTACTGTGTCTCATGACCCCAATATAATTTTACCAAAAGTGTCTCGGTGTGAGCTATTGTCAACAGCGTAAGTAGCAGCACAGATGCGTTGATGTGCTGCCTGTTCAGGTTTCCTTCCTTCTGAACAACCATTTTTCTTTGGGGACACACAGGGGTCTGTGTGCTGTGCATCAGTCAGTGTGTGAGCACAGCGCCCAGTGAGGCACAGCCACAGCGCTGGGGTGGTGCTGGGGGGTGGGAGATGTTGGGGGTGGGAACCCAGAAACATAACAGAAGAGTCAGCAGTTCCAGGAGGGGTGCAAGGGCTGTGGGAGCGGCGTGGAGCAGTGACAGAAGGATGCTGGAAGGTCTGGAAGGGCTGTGCTTCCAGGCACATCAAGGTATGAGCAGTGCCAGCCTGTGATGCTTTACCGTCTCCTGCCCGAAACGTGGCTACTGTCCTGCTTTGTAGGCTGTGAACCCTACTTTCCTAAGTGCCAGTGAGAAGCACTGACTGTAACTTGATTCTAAAACAGGTGCCTCACACTGGGTCCCTGTGCTGTTCCCAGAGCATTGTCTTCTAAGCAGATAAATTGTTTCCCTTTCTTTCCCTTTTTCTCTCCTTTTCTAACTCCAGCAGCAGCACAGCACGGTGCTGCAGGATGGACTGCGCTGTCCTGGTGCCGCTCATCCTGTGCTGTTCTGCTGGGCACACATTGCAACCAGCCAGGACAGCTCAGGGAGTTCAGATTCAATTGTTTTGCTTTTGAAAGTTTTGCTTTCAAGACCAAGAGCAGGGTTCATCTTCCCTAGAAAATTCTGTGCTCGTTAAATGACCTTGCGCCTCATTTGCTGGATCCATCTGCAACTCAGTGAGGTTCTGTATCTCTTTTTCGTCTTTTTGGAAGCATGGAGAGGCCCGTCCAGTGATTTCAATGGTTTCTCCAGTGGCTAAAACAAGCCCCTCTTCACATTAACATACTGCATTCTGTTTCCTCTCGGTAGGTCAGCGCATCCTACTATCCTGCTCCGGGATCACTGAGGCACTCGGCAGCCATCGTCACTCTGCCCCACCTGCAGCATCACCTCTCAGCCAACATGTACGTAGTGTGAATCGTGCTGGGGGTCACACAGCACTCCGCACTGCATCCATGCCTCTTCCCAGCCCAGTTGCTCCCTGGGCTCCTGCCTGCAGGAGGGGCATTGGGTGCAGGGCTGTGTGCCTGGGGCTGGGGCCATGCATGGGTGTCTGCATTTCTGAGTAGGAACTGCATGGACTGCTGGGGCAGCTGACCCTGAAGGTTGTTGTAGGGGTATGGCAGAATTTAGGTACAGTACTGGAAAGATTTGAGACAGATTCTGACCGTTCCTGTTGCTACTGCCCAGGCAGAGCACACATCTGCACTCCTCGTGGTGCTTTGCCTTAGGCCAGGTGCTCTTTAGTCCTCCATGCCCTATGGCACTGGGTACCTGTGTGGTAGGATGGCACAGCAGCATTCTTCTTGCTCACTGCCCTTGGCTGGTTGCCTACTGCTTCTGAGAAAGATGCTGTGACAAGATCTACTTTTCTTCAGTCCTGTTGGCCCTTCTTTTATTCATACCCCCTCTGGTCAAACCCTGCAGGCAGGCTCTTCACTGTGAGTCATCTCTGCAGTAACAGCAGCACCCCATGAGCTGTGCAGGGCTGCAGGGGGACTCTTGTGCATGCAGTGCCCACAGCACACAGCCCCACGCCGCAGGCAGCGCTGCAGGCACTGGGCACAAGGACAAGGCCCCCCCATGTCCCCGTGTCTCCACAGCTGCATGCCTCTCCATCCCTATGTGGGGCACGGCCCTGACGAGCTGAAGCTGCAGAAGGGTGAAGGGGTTCACGTCCTGGGGCAGCACCACAACGGCTGCCTGCAGGGCGCCTCGCTGGCCAGGGGCAGGGCCGGCATCTTCCCCAGCAGTTCCTTTGCTCCCCTCCTCAGGTCTGATTTTCCTTGCATGGAACCAAAGCAGAGGGATGGGGAACTGTAGGACGCGGCCTTCTTGCTCCCACGGTGATGTCATTGCTTTAGAGCAGGCATTCAGATGCTGGAAGCCATGGATATAACTGAGTGAATGCATTAGGAAGAGCAATCATTAAAATATACGCTTACTTTAGGAGAGAAAAAAATTGCCCGTGCCCTCAGTTTCCCTGAAATACACCCAGGTTGGGCAGAGACCCGGCCACAGGCTCACAGTGCACAGTATGCACAGGGAATGTGGGGGAGCCGTCAGGAAACCTCACCCTGGACTCGCACTGAATTATTTGGAGCAGCAGCGCCCAGCCCTGCAGGGAGGCGTCCGCGCGGACCCCACCTCGCCGGGATCGGAGCCGGCGCTGCAGCGGGGGACTTGACGGCGCTGAGCTCCAATGCGCACAGCGCCGCGCTCCTCCACCACCAGCTGACGTTCTGCTCCTTCGCCAACAGGAAGCCGAGCGTGCCCGACTCGAAGCTGCCCGCGCTGTACGCCTCCTGGACGCTGTCGGCCTCGTCGGTGTCCTCCCAGGGCAGCGCCTCCGAGAGCGCGCAGCGCCAGAGCCGAGCGCTGAAGGCAGCGCTGCCCCTGGGGCACACGGCGCTGCGGCGCGGCCGCGGCTGCACCAGGAAGAGTGAGTGCGGGTGGGCGCTGGGATACGGGCGGTGCAGCCCTACGGGCGGTGCGCCGTGCTTGGGATGCGCGCAGGGATGGCCGAGGTGCTGCCGACGTGCTGCTGTGGGGAACTGCGAGCCCTGGTTGTGCAAACAGCACCGGGAGCTGCGTTGGTTTTGGTCCTCCGAAGAGAGGTTTGGGGGTTGTCACGGAGGACCCTGAGAGCTCCGTGTGCACAGGCGTTTACAGAAGGTTAAATTAAGGTATTATCAGGAGTTATCAAGAAAGAAGCTCAGAACAGAAGGGTAAAACTCAGCAGTGCCATTGTAGGAGTGCTGGTGAGCTCATATCCTGAATACTTCTCATATTCTGATAACTCAAAGAGAATAGAGTAAAATTAGAAATAAGCATGGGAAGGATGAGCAAGAGAATAGAATAATTCTATTTCAGGAGCAAAGTTTTACAGCATGGAAATATCCAAGATGCACGAAGTCATGAATAGGCTGCAGGTGGAAAGGTACACTGCCTTGGCACAGCTTTCTGAATGTGCTGAGCAGCCACAGCACGCTGCCCAGGTTGGGTGCAGATGGATAGCGATGCTGGCTGGGACCTGGCTCATTTGCAAGAGCCACTGTTGGAGGCTTTAGACTTAAAAGCTGTTTTGCTGTAGAGAACCCCACGCACCTGTGGTGGCTCTTATTAAAAAATCAATCTTGTAAACAGCGAGGCACTGACAAGGAAATTAAGTGTGCGACTTCCAGTGCTGCAGCCTGGAAAGCAGCTGCCAGATGGAGCAGCCAGTGCAGAGCAACCAATGGCAGCAAACCGTGGGGGGGGGCTCGGGTGCAAACTTACAGATGTGCTCGGCCAAAAGCACAACGGCAGAGGATGGGGAACGCCAGGCCTGCGGGGTGCTGCTTCCCCCACGGCACCTCGGGGGGCTCCGTGCAGGACCACGCAGGGCCGGGCAGTACGTCCTGCAGGGCTGTCTGCCCCCCACTGCACGCAGCTGCCCCGCGCCTTCCTGCTGGGACCTCGCTAACCACTCTGCCCTGCCCTCCCCTTTTCTCACCCCCAGATGGGTCCCTGCAGAGGCCGGGGCAGGCAGGGCTGCAGGCTGCCAGCTCCCTCCGCCGCGTTCCCACGGCCGGGCTGCAGCCGTACCCACATGCTGGCAGCTCAGCGCACAGCAGCCCCGCTGCCGGCACAGCCGAGATGGGCGCGAGGCCCAACTTCTCCCACGAAGCCCTGCCAGCACTCGTGGTCAGAGGAGGGGAAAGCAGGACTCCATCTGTCTGCAGTTCGGTGATCCTGGACACCACGGAGCCTCTGGCAAAGAGTGAGTCGGTGCCCCGGCCGCCCGCATCGGCCCCGCCGTCCATCCTGGTGAAGCCGGACACCTCCCGTAACAGCAGTGACAAGGTACAGAGTGCTGCCCAGGGCCGATGGGTGCTACTGGGGTTGGTGCCTGCCTTAAGCTGTCAGATATTGGTGCTGCTGACTCTGCTGTTCAAATTAAGCCCTTCAGAAAGGCCAAGTGCTGCAGGGTGTCCTTCAGAAGGGGCCATTGCTCATTGGTTCAGTGGCCGTGATCAAACTTTGAGGCTTTCTGAGGTCTTATATCAGGCCCCCTCACTGAAGTCCCCGTAAATCACAGAGCCATTAAGTCTGGAAAAGACCTCTGATATCTGCAAGTCCTACCCCAACCCACCCCCGCCATGCCTGCGGACCATAGAATGGCTTGCAAACCCCCAAACTAACCCCCAAAACACGAGGGGAGCCACCAACCTCCAACCACATCCCCCCATGCCATATCTCCACAGTTCTGGAACACAACCAGTGTCAGTGACTGCTCCACTCCCTGGGCAGCTTGCTCCCACCTGACTGCTCTTTCAGAGACGTCATTTCTCCTTATCTCTCGGGTACTGAAAGAGCAAACACCAGAGCTGGGTGCCGAGCCCCGCGCTGGGCTGCTCGCTGCAGAGCAGGACAAAGGGAACGCTTTCCTGCCCTCCCCCCCATGACAGCTCTCCCTCCCCGGGGCCCCCAATAGGTCCGTGGTTGACAGAGCGGTGCTTGGGGCTCCCGGTGCTCGAGGCGGGCGCCACGCCGCCCCTCGCGGTGACGCGATGCTCTCCTCGCAGCAGGTGAAGACGGTGCGGTTCCAGAACCACAGCCCGCCGCCCAAGCGGCACGGCCCGCAGCCCTCCCCGCGCCTGCCCCGCAGCAGCACCGAGTCGGCGCTCGCAGCTGAGCCCCCGCCGCCCGACGGGAGCCCCGAGCCGCCCGCGCTGCCCTCCCCGCGCCTGGGCAGCAGCCCCCTGCATCCCCGCAGAGCGCTGCACCCGCGGGCGGCGTCGCTGGAGCTGTCAGCGCCGCTGACCTTCCCCGTCAGGAAGAGCTACAGCAGCGTCTCCGCCAACTGACAGGTAGTGCCCGCAGCCCCGCACCCATCTGCCCCTCCTGGGGGTGGTGTGGAGCTCGGGGACCCCGGAGGGCGGTGACACGGAGCGGCTGCTCGCGCAGGGAACGGGGATGAAGCGGGATGGGAGGACGGGCACAGCGGAACGGCGCTGCGTGCTGCGATCTCCAAGGGGCCACAGCTGTGCCCACGGGGATCCAAGCGGCAAATGTCACCTTCCTACAGGATGGGGCTCCAGCTCACGTGCTCATCACTGGTGTTGAGACCACCCGTGCCCATCTGACACAATGAACATCGGATCCAAAACTGCTGTAACGTCACATCCATCGTTAAACACGTTCCAAACCCGTGGAACTAGCTTCATTGGTGACCCAAAACTCACCACGGCCATAGAGCAGCCCCAGCAAAGGAGCCTTTGGAACAGAGGGACTGACAACTGTCCACTATCCCACACGCTTGGCTCTCTCAGACCCTTTCTCTTTAAGCAGCAGAAAGGGATTTCCAGCAGCACTGCATCCTTTGCCCGCTGCTCTCAGGTACAGGGGGCAGTGCAGGCAGAGAACAGGACGCCCTCAGCGTCACTGCACAGCCCAGAGCAAACACCAGCGCTTTGCAGAAGGTTCCTCTCATCCCCTTAAAAAAGTAATCCAGAAACCTCAGCAGCTCTACAGCCAGGAACAACTGCCCCCTCCAGACACGTCCAGAGGTGAACAGAACCGCACAGCGCCCCTGGCCAGCCGTGGCAGTGATTTACACACACAGCAGCCACGCAGCGCTCCTACCAGCCCCTGCTCAGAACACCATTCCCCCTGCCAGGACAAACAGCACCGAGGCAGCACTGCACAGAAGAACACTGCAATGCTGTGCAGCCCGTTGTGTGGTGCTGAGACTTCACACAGTGCTCCCAACCCGCTGGGTGATGGCAACCACTGAGCATCCATTCAGCTGCTGGGGGAAGGAAAGGCTCTGCCACTGCATGTGAACAGCTGGGGGCAGCGATGGGCAAAGGCACCGAGTGGAAGGGCTGTTTTGCTAAGAGCAGGAGGCCATTCTGGGACAGATCCCAGAGCTCCTGGCACAGGGTGTCCCTGCTTTGATGCTATTCCCTCAACCAAAACATGGAGGGAGAGACAACCGAAAACAGGGCGCCACTTACAGCAACAGCTCTAATCGGTGCTGTCAAGCTGCTCCCAAGCTGCAATGAGGGTGAACCCAGCTCCTCACAGCACCTGGGCTGCATGCTGCACTGCGGGATGGAGGCTCTCATGGGACGTTCCTCCCAGCCCCAGGCTGAAGGAGGCTGTAGGAGCAACAGGAGCAGTTCCAGGGGCTGCCAGCAGCAACACTCCAAGGCCCAGGAACTGCTTCCAAGTGTTTTATTACCCAACCTGATCCTGTTTAGTTTTCCTTAAGCCACCAAGGCAGCGCCCAGAAAGGCAAAAACCCAGCCCCAAAGCAGCAAGTCCACATGTGTATTTATCAGTATGTTAGAGGGCTGGCTTACTGTTGAATGGCTCGAGGTGTGTTTGTGCAAAATACTTGTATCACACATAATTATAGCTACATAGACTTTAGGTTTCCCTTTTCCTTTTCTCCTCCTTCCCCAGCCACCCCTGGGCTCAGTATTTCCCTAAGAGGCCCCATTCCAGAGCAGGCAGCACTCAGCCCAGCTGCACGGCTGGACCCCACACCCCCAGCAGCCCCATGGGGTTGGGTGCTGACAGCACCCAGGGGGGCCACACACTGCTGACAGGCAGACAAAGGACCATTTGCATCAAACCTCTGAGCTGAATGCTTCCTGAAGTCAGCAAGGGTCAGACAGTAACTGACTGCGCTCATCGGGCTGTGAATTTTGATGTCTTTCTGCACTGAGCCCAGCAAACGTTGCAGGGAAATGTTACAGTCTTATTACTATGAATGAGAGCACAGGAAGGACTGGTTTACACGTGTATGTTTAGAAACAGCTATATATAATCTTTTCTTATTTGGTGACGGGCAGGAAGAGCAAACAGAACACTGACATTTACCTTGGGGTTGAAAGGCACCCGTACAAATTCAGCAACGCTCAATATTTTTTTCCATGATGTGAAGTTCATTTTTTAAAAAGGCTTTTTCAATTTAACGTACCACTAAGGAGAAGAATGAACTCAATAAACAAAAAGATATCGGCTTCCTGGTCTGCGTCCATCTTCAAACATTTGTTTTCTATTTCTGTAACTGAAAAACAAAGGTTTGAAAACACGTGAAGTTTACAGATGCTTACCTACATGCGTCAGGCAGCACGGCGCTCTGCAACCTGCAGGAGGGGTCAGAGCGCCAGCGCGGCGCAGAGCAGAGCAGAGCTGCAGCACCAGAAAGGGGCGACCCATCCTGCAGGGCTGCTGCACTGCTGTTGCACCACATGCACACCCAGCCCCACGCTGGAGCCCATGCACACTGCAGGCGTGCACTGAGCACCCATTCCCCTCACATAGCAGAGTTGGGGAAAGCAACGCAATCCAAGAGACCCACCTGCTGCCCGAGGAACAGAACATGAGAAGCAGCAGACTTTGTCCCGTTAGATGCATATATGACACCCTGTGGCAGAAAAGCTGCAGTGGGGGGGAAGTTGGGGCTGCTCAAAGCTCTGCACGGAGCACAGAGCCAGCACAGCACACCCAGTGCCACACGGAGCAACGGGAGACCCTGCCCTGACCTCCCCACAGCCCCATTCTGACTGCCCAGGGCTGATGGAGGCACTGAACGCTGCCCACCTCTGTGCCCAGTAACTCACACCAAAGGTCAGGCAATGCTTCTGACGTGGGGAGACAGCACTGAAGAAAAACTGCTACTGCTTTAAACAAAATAACGATCCCACACAGACTGCTGCTGCCACAGTCAATAATTCTCTCTTCTGCTAGGAGAACCTGCGGGGATTAATGAACTCTGAGCCGAATTCCTGAGCAAAAGGGGATCCCTCATCAGCAACACGGTGCTGCAGCACGACGTGCAATGCTGAGCAGCCATTCCCATCACCCAAATGGTTTCCATATGGATCTTCTTACAATACATCATTTATAATGGTAACCAAGGATCGGCTCCTAACCTCAGCCATGGCTTCAGAGCAGGAAGAGCTGCTCCCAGGCACAAGGGCTGCCCAGGCAGGAAGGGCAGCCATTTATAAACAGCTTTGTGAGGGAAAAAAAAAAATCAGGTTTTAGCCTTTATTTTAAAAGCCTAGCATGGAAGCTTTCGTGCTTTTACCTCAAAGCTCACCACTGCTGAGCTGATTCTGACCTGATGGTCCATATGGTAATACCCTCGTGCTGTTCAGTCACTGAAAAGCAAAGTACAAAAGTCTCTAAGTGACTTTTCCCGTCTATTAGAGGAGATTCATGACCAACTGCTCTGCCTGGATCCCAGTTTGGCTGGGAGAAAAAGGAGTGCTAAGCCTGATACTCTACTGAGCACACAGGCCCCAGATGGAAAGGAAGATTTGCCACATTGTTTGGGAAAATTGTTTATTTTCAAAAAAACCCAAAGGGCCAAAGGAAAATAATTCCATTATATCCACATTTTAAAGAGTGGAGATAAATTTGCATGCAAAAAAGGCATTTCTTTGTGTGGGCTTTTTTCTTTTTTGAAGAACAAATTCACATCTTTGTCACAAACACTTTCAAAGTCACTCCACGAGCTCTCCCTCTCTCAGCCAGGGATGAAGCTGCACACAGGCAGCTCAGTGCACCAGGTACACCATGGTGTCACCGATGTCCCTCCTCAGGCCGCTCTCTGTGACGCACACACGTTTCTCAGCCAGGTCGATGTGGAAAACTGCCTGCTCTGGAATAGCAGTTTTCTCTGCTTCTTCTTTGCCGAGGACCGGAACACGGCGAGGCCCAAGAACCGGATCATCAAACCTCATCAGCTTCACTTTGGAGAGATCTGCAATACAGCCACAACTAATGAGGACACATCTACACAGGGACCGCGATGCCCAGCTCAGCACAGCAGCACTGAACACGTGGCACTGCTAGAGATCTTCTCCACGGAGATACACTCCCAAAGACTTGGGCCCATTAGAAGATGCCATTCAGCGGGCACAGAGCAAACTGTAGAGACAGCATCTGTCTGTTTTATCTCCAAGTCCCCCGGCCCCGTTCCAAGCACGTCTGCCTTTTTGCTCTCATGTCAGCTGTGAGTGACTTAGCAGTGCTTTTGTTTTGAGGAATTAATTTCAGAGACTGGGGGAAAGGAACGGGAGAGTTTTTGTGAAATACAGTTCCTTTTTAAATTCGCACCAGCAGGAGATTGCTGAGCAGACCAGAAAAAAAAGCAGGATCTTTCAGCAACACCTTCCTCCAAGCACTGCCTCTCTCTCCTGTGCACCGACAGAACAGTGACACCTTCTGGAAGAGATGCAGAGCTGGAAAGAGTCACTTCTTCCCAATCATCTCAAAATAGTCACCTTGCAGCAGGGCATTAGATATGTATATCTACACCTACCTGGTGTAGGGAAACCTGCTTTGGCAGGGGGGTTGGACTCAATGATCTCTGGAGGTCCCTTCCAACCCCTACAATTCTGTGATACACATCTCTATGTGTACAGCACATTGCCCTTTGCATGCATTTTGCTACACACAAGTTACCATGTACTCCCCCTGTGTGCATCACCATCCATCAGTGGTTACCTTTGTTTGACAGATAAACGTTAATATAAACACAAGATACAGAAAAATGAGGAAAAGATTTCTCTGCTGTCAGAACCTTTTGGATTCAGCTCAGTTTTCCACTAACATTCAGCTCTACGGTGATTCAGATTTGCTCCATTCCTACTTTCTGCACTCCTCAACAGAACCACAGCTGCTGTTTCCTTAGGAAAGCTGTTTCCTTCCATGCAGAAACCTTTCTGAGCCACGGCTGCACCTGTGCTGCACCCACACTGTGCCACTGACACAGCAGCTCTGTGCCCACCTCCCCAGCACGGCACATTATGTCAGCTCCAGGATTTACCTTTGATGCCTCTGTCCATCTTCATTAGGCGCCTGATCACAGTCTCTCTGTTATCTCCTTGCCTAATCTCAATTTTCGTAGAGAAGTGGCCATTTGATGGTTGAGGGTTCACCAAAAACACAGACACACTGGGCTGCAAGACAGTTAACAAACAATTAGAGGGGGCTCCACGTTTGTGATTCAAGGCTCAGAGGAAATCTGCACCTAAACCAAACCAGCCACCACCGAGTGCTCCAGACAGATCACCTTCATTGCACAGCACAGAGTGCCAGTGGCAGAACAGAAACACCTACACAAGTTTTTAGAATGTAAGCTGCAGGGTATGTGACTTTTTAGGACATATCTAAGGAAAAAAAATCCATGAAATTTTTACTGTTGAAGAGTTGAAGAGTATCAGAGCTAGAAACATTCACATTTGTTACTACTGCTGTAGCGTTGCACAGATCTCACGCTCACTGAGCAGTGCTCTCAGAATTCCACAACAGAGCTGAAAGGATAATTTAAGTGTTTGATTTTATGAACTGAATGCCATTATTAGCCCACTGTAAACTGACAGAAGAGCACTGAAAACATTAAGACACTACAGAATTCAGCAAATGAAGTTTCACATGGGAGCTTGTGATGCCTTCCAGCAAGCACAGCACCGCCAGAAGCTCTGAATAACAGCAGAGAAGCAAAATTCAGATCAGCAGAATCAAGAGCTCTCAGTTCTCTATTTTGTGGCCCATGTTTTAGCTGGAACACAGCCTACCTGATCTGAAGGGTGGTAGGCAAGGCACATGACTGAAGGCATACACACTGATGCTCAAGTCACTCATTTAACAGCCTTCCAGCCAGCACAATTGAAAGATTTGATCTGAAGCGCCTGAAGGCCAAGATAGAATTGTCACATTGACAGCTGTATGCATAGGAAAGAAATAGCAATTGCTGCAGTAAACGTTTCCTGTTTTGAAGGGTGTGAAGGGCACAAATTCCTATTTACACCTCCGAGTAAACTTTCAAATGCCGTATTTGTGGGTTGGTTTGTACTCCACTTTTCAGACCTCCAATATCTGAACATTGGATTTTTCTGTTGCTCTTGGTTACCTCAGTTCTGAATACAGAGAATGGTTTTCCAGGACAGCACTCCTCTTTTATTTTATCTTCTGCTTCAGAAGCAAACTTCACTTCAATGTGATCCAGCTGCAGGAAAGGTGGGCGGGGAGAGGGGAGGGAATCAAGAGGAGTTTGATCATATTAGAGGGAACAAGAGGAGATACCAGACCTCCATGCACTCCAAAAAGTTCACATCATCGCTCTTGAAGGCCTCTGCTCAATAAGCTGCAGTTCCTCATCATCCTTTCTAACACTGGGGGGAGGGTGTGGGGACAATGAGGAGGACAGAACTCTGACACACATCCTCCAAGTCTGAGATCAGCAGAGCTGGGAGGGATGGCTTCCCTTGGCTTGCCAAATCACATCCTGTGCAGGTAACTCCTTCTAATCTAGGTCAACAAACAGCATGGCCCATTTGCAGTAACAGCACACTCACACTGAACCTGACAGTAAACCCCACAGTAAACAGTGACCCACAGTAAACCCCAAATCCTTCATAGCAGAAAGACGTAGCTTTCATAGCCAGCCAGCCCCCACCTCACCCAGAAACAGAGCAACTGTGCCAAGGTTCTGAATGTGGCAGCTCCTGCTGAACTCTGCGTGATAAAGCAGCTCAGCTCTTACGTATCTTGCCTCTCTCCTGCATGAAAGCCCCACTGTGCAGCAGGACATCTCCCTCCTTCCACAGTTTATCACAGAAAGCAAACTTATGGATAGTTTTAAAACAGGCACTGCTTGCTCTAGACTTTGCTCTGATACAGGACAAATCCAATGGACCCACTTTTATTTCATATTGCACAACTGAAAACAATGAAATTCTGTGGTTTGTATTTTTGAAATTTCTAACTCCTGAAACAAGCTGTTTCTCATAAACCTGCCCAAGCAGTCCCCTCATTGTGTTCTGATGATCATGCTAAGCATAACTTCCTCTAGACTGCCAATTTACTTCATAACAGTTTTAACAGCCCTGCCCAGATTCAGCTTTTGAAGAGAACAAAGTAATCTGCTACAGCTCACGTGTGCCACTGCCAGAGCCTGAGGACTTCAGGCTAAGGACTGCGACCACTCTCACCAGTGATACACGTCCGAATTCCTTCAGTTGAAAAACAAGGTTACAGGTCAGAGCAAAGCTCTTCAGAAGCAGCACTGAAGAGGCTGATCCTCTAGCTATCCCAGTAAGAGCCAAGCAACAAGTGCACCAGAAGATGCTAACCTCCAGGGAATTTGTCAGATAGACGATGTTCTCCATGAGCACTGCCCGCTCGTCGAATTCCAGCTCCAGATCAAGAACACGCGAACCATTCTTCTCCAGGTTTTCCTGCCAGGAGAAAAAACGGATTAAAACCATCTAAGACTGCAAGATGATGCTTCAAAATTGCAATCTATCTACATTAGTCATGAAAAGAACAGGCTTTAAAATACGCGAGCTCTCTGCTGGCACAGGAGCAATAATTCTCCTGTAACAGGGTGTCTTCTACAGGGAGCTGGCGACACTGATGGGAGGAGTAAGAGCAATTATAACACATCTTTAACACAGAACTCAAAAGGTGTTTTATATTCTGTCACTCGTAATCTCCATTTAATGTGCGAGTTGAGAATTCTCCCAGTAAGTCAGCACTTCACTGCTGTTTCACAGCATGAAATTCAGTCTTATGACCTAGTTTAGAATAAAGAACAAGCATCCAACAGCTGAACACGTTCACAACAGTCATAAAACAGTTCTCTGCAGGGAAATAACAACCACTTTATATGTTAACATAAAGGTAAATTAATTAGTATAGAAAACCAACAGCAACAGTAACAATAGCCAAAGTATTAAAAGCAATATAACAACCACTTTTTATTTATTTATTGGAGTAAAACAGAACTTCCTCTTTGGAATCTAATTAGTCTCTTGCTTCCACACACTCAGTCAGCTGTCTCCTCTGAAGCTCTGCTTCATCACTCTTGGCACAGCCATGGTTCCCTCATCAGTGTAACATGCAAGATTCCCTGCACCAACAGTGAACTGCTTCCCTTAGTAAATCACAAAGCCTGATCTTCTGACAGAGAGGAAGCACAAGCAGAAATGCTTCTTATACCCTGGAACTGCTGAATAATCTGTTTCAGAGAACATACTGGTCTAGGGAATCTAAGCTCACGTTTCTTCTATGTATTCATATGCAGTCGCTTACTGCTCTTCCTTCAAAGCACACGGATGAAGTGTTGGTAAGTCTCAGCATGCCAAACCATTCCCTGCATGTAAGGGAATCATTAATTGCCAGGCTAACAACAAAAAACAGCTACATTTCAGACCTGATCTGCTTGCATGGCTGAAAGTTTGGCTGATACGTTGCAAATGTACGAGCTGATCTATAAAATACTGCCTCTTCTTACAAATTTCTCTTATGCAGGAAACTTCATAGCAGCTGCTTTGTGCCCTCTTTCCTCTGAAGGCTCATTTTTGGCAGCTCTCCAGCAGCTCTTTGCCTCCCTTGCACTGTGAGGCCCAAAACCTGGTGCCGTACTGCAGGTGCAGCCTCACCAGTGCAGAACAGAGCAGAAGAACTGAGTCCCTCAACTTGCTGGCAACACTCTGTGCAAGGTCAGGAAAACACCAGCCTTCTGCATGAAAGCACTCTGACACTCACCTTAACCATGGCAACAAAAGGCATGACCTTCTTCATGTACTTCTTCAGCTCTGGCAGGGCACTGAGCTCACTGGCAATCACCTTGTTGTCTGGCAGCCGACCTCCGGTGACCTAAACAGTGATGATATCCATTGAGTACAAGGATCAGAAGGAAAAAACAAACCACATGTTCCCATTACTATCATCTATCCTCCATGCTTTACCAAAACGCCCTCAAGGACTGTTATCGTTGATTCCACACAATCATTTTCCTACCCTTTAGAAGTATTTAAAATGTAAAATTTACCAAAACCCAAGGATATCTACTGCCATTCTTTAATCTTGTCTGCAACAACATATTAGTGTACCTAAATTATCAAGTCAAACGCATCTTAAATGCATATTTAAGTCTACCCTCGAGCAGCTATTTAAGCACTATTTTCCTCAACTGTTTTGATTTTACATTCACAGCTCAGGTATTTGCCATTACTCCCATTCAGCAAACCAGACTGAACAGCAGAATTTAATGCTGATGCAGGAAATGCTATAGAACTCCCAACGTTTAATACTCTAAAGACAAGTTTCACACAAGGAATAATGATTTAATTCAACACTGCAAGTTATAAGAGTCCTGACTCAAAAGGTGTCAGCTACAACGCTGAGGATAGCAGCTCACCAGCAAGGCAAAAGCCACCCAGCAGTCTCCGTGTCGGAAACAGGTTTCTCCACTTCCAGAGAAGTGAATCGCTTGCATTTAGGACACATATTGCTTTCCAACATATTTCTTGCAACCTCCTCACTCAACAGTACATGCCTACTTAAGGAGCAGAAAACACCTCTAAGCCCACTTGTGCAGCAAGGCAGCATCAACCTCTTGGCCAGTAAGATTTCCTCAGAAACACTGCTGGGAAAGAACTGACTTACAAGTGGATAGCCTGTCAAATGCAAGGGAACACGGGCCCAATTTACTCAGAAATAGCCAAAAGCAGTAAGGACATACTGTTGAATTAAAGACACACCTCAGAACGTTCTCATTAAGTGTTAAAATTCATTGGACATTTGTAGAAGAAATTAGAACTACCTCACTTTACACGTAAGTAATTTGGTAACAAGTTACAACTTACAAACTTTCTTACAGATAAAGCAGAGAAGGAGCCCAAAAAGCCACAGAAGAACACCTGCCTGGTAGTGCTGGCGCAGAAGCAGCAGGGTGGTGTGCTGCCATGGGGGGTAGCTCTTGGCGACGTAGATGGTGCAGTGAGAAGGCTTCTGGGAAGGTTCTTTAGCACCTTTCTGAGGAAAGGAAGAGATTCATAACATCAGGAGGGAGGAGGCAATGCAGAATCACCAGCTGTGCACACTTAGACCACCATTACACACCACCTTTCCTTTCACAGGTGCCATGTAGCCCTTGAGACGGAGTCGGAGGTCATGAGCTGCTTCCATGAGGTACTGAGAAGAGCCAATTAAGATCTCGTCCACAGGGCCAGCTTCTGGCCAGGAGGCTTTCATGATGGAATCAGGCTGTTAAGAAAGGAAGTTACAGGGCATTTTTATCTCAGTGCATGTATCTGGTGGTCCTTCAATCAATTGGCTCGACTGGAAACAAGTTCAGGCAGTATGAACCTCAACGAGCACTCATCCATTACTCGGTTGTAGAGGAGTAAGAACACGGCCAACGTGCATTTATTTGTGTTACATACACAAGCACGCCTGCCACGTAGATGCATAACTTCTCCGGATTCATTTCCCCAATTTACCTGGTAGCACAAAAGCAGCTGTTCCACGCATAGATGCGGGAATATTTTGTGATCAGATTAATTTCAGATCACCCTGTGTGAAGTTAGTCAAAGCGACTTGCACTGAAGTTACCCGTATCACTGCAGTAACCAAAGACGCAGGGTAACTCGACGTACCTGCTGTCACACACAGCATTCTATCATGGCAATGCATACATCAACGTTACAGGACAGCTGTTTCTCCTACTTGCAAACAAATGAAATCTACAAGTCTGACACCAGCCTAAAAAATCAATTAAACCTCAGATCTGAACCAAATGACAAAACCAACATCCATTAGTACCTTTCCCAGCAGTGACCAGATGTGCTCACACAGGTGGGGACAGATAGGAGCCAAGAGCAGAGTCTGAACTTCGATGAACCGAAACACCAGCTCTCTGTGCATCCCTTCTATCGCCAGCTCACGGTATTTATCTTTTGCTGCCTGGAAGAAAGTCAACGTCACCACCATAAATACAGTAACTGCCACAGAGAAGCTCTCAAAAGGAAGATCACCCAGCTGTTTGCTCCAAGGTGCCTGTAGAATGTAAGAAGCTTAGAACTCAGTAACAGATTATTGGAAGTAGTGCATTTTTCTCAAGTATCTGACTGCAAATATGTCAGCTGACAGCTTCACTTCACAAATAGTACCTTAGTGTTGATTAGGACAGATATAAAAGACCCCGAAATGCCCTCACAAAGAAGTACAAAGAGGAGCAATGAATACGATCTACCATCACGCATACAACTCAGCTTATTTAACTCCACTCCCAAACATAAAGAGAGTCTGTAACTCATTAAGTGAAGTGGAATGCTTCTGCAGACACTCTGGATGTGGTTTATGGAGTGCATCAAAAAGCACTATTTGCAGAGAACTCTGTTGTTATCTGGATTACTTAAAACTCTATTGAAAAGGACCTAGAGACAGGAAACACTCTTCTCAGTGGTGCCTACATGCAACATCACAGGTGTCTTCCTCCAGGCCTCTGCAAAATGCCACAAACAGACCTTCATAGTTTCAGATTAAGCCCATCTAATTGGTCTTGTTTCTTGATATAACTCAGATTCCAGTTCAGCTGTCTGGTTAAGAATCACAGACATCAGGACCAAAAGAAACCCACACAACGCAATAAACGTCAAGCATTATTTTTCTATAACGAGAGCTCTTACCTGAAATTCAAAGAAGCCAGTCTTCAGAGCCTCCTTAAATAACATCTTCTCATAATTCTGATCTGTCTTCTTTATGCCTGCATTAATTTCACTAGGGAGGAAAGTAAAAACACCAGTATTGCACAGCCCACCCCACTTAACAGGAGCACTGTGTGGAACTATGCAACAAATGCCACCAGCACAACACAGTCACATCAACTCTTCTGAAAGTGAATTTAAAAAATGTTTTTTTAATACAAGTTAATGAATTCCATAAGACTGCTACAAAGACAATCCTTGCAAGAAAAGAAATAAAACAGAAAACCAGCTGGCACCACGCTGTATTAGCAGCCTTCACACAGTACCTGGCAAAGACTCTGTCATTGAAGGTGTTGGCAGGACCACTTCTTAAACTGTCTCTGTTTGCAATCATCTCCTTTACCCACTCCACCCACGTGTAGAGACGAAGAATCCCAGCGTCAGCCATGGCTTCCACAAAGTTGGCATCTTCAACAGTGTCCCCAGCATCAGCCAGGGCTAAACGCATTCCTGAGGGAAATCACATCAGCTGACAGGGCTGCTTTGCAATGAGCTGCTAGATGGGGGTGCAGGAGGCAAGGGACTGCAAGTCAGTGACAACCAACTTTTAATTCCATGTTAATGTGAATGTGGAATTAAGTTACAAATTGCCTGGCCAACTAGAGACATGCCCCAAAGGATGCACTTTACCCAAGGAGATGAGCACTGCTTTCCTTAGGAAGCAGATCAGACAGACAGCAAGAACCAAGAGCCTGACATCGTCAAAGGTGGAACAGAAAACACCAAAGAGCCACCAGGAGGCTGCAAGGAGGAACACGGCATGCAGGAACACAGTGTGTATCAGCAGCATTTGTCTGGTATTTTCATCTCCAATAGCAATGTGTATATAAGCACCTTCCAGAAGACCTCAACCTGGGAGAAGGTCTTGATTTAAACAGGTGTTCCATTAATGCACATCCCAATTTTCTAAACACAGCTCAGCTTTTCAAACAAAAGCAGCTGGTAGGTTTATTGCAATGCAATACTCCAATATACCCACTGCTCCTCTGAGAGCAAAACATGAGTTCTCATCATTTTGGCATCACTGAAATAACAGAGACAGGTCAGAACATACTTACCATCTGCAGAAAACTTGTCCACAGCTTGAGTTAGGGTAAGGAAGTTGCCTGTAGATTTAGACATCTGAAAGAAATAGAACCACCTTTGTTTTCTCATATACCCACTCCACTGCTGGACAGGCAAGAAGACAGAAAAAGTTTGGTGAAAACACTAGGAAAGCGTTTTCTCATGAAAGGGAACTTTGGTAAATCTGAGCGAGGTCACACTGCAAAAACAGACTGACCTTCACAAGTACAGATCTGCTCAGAACACAGAACTCAGCCTGTGACTAAGGCAGCCATAAGCTATAAACTCATGGAAATTGCAGCTGCCTCCTGGGTCGTTTGGGTTCCACCCCAGAACTTCTCAGGCCTTGGAAAATGGAACAACTGGCACCAAAACTCAGTTCCAGAAATTACTCTTATCCAATCCCTGAAAATTAAATACTACTTCAAAATCAGCATTTTCAGCTCATCCTGCATCAGTTTTTCAAGAAGGATCATGGTGGCTTTCTTGGTTTCACATCAGACAATCTCCAAGGCCAAATTCCTAGGCTCAGGCACTTCTACTTTCAAATTCAGTTTCAGAACTCATGTGCATTAGCGAGTTATCCACACAAAATTTCCTCTTCTTATACTGACTCCAGGCCTCAAAGCTAAAAGGCAGAATGATTTTGTTTGTTTTACTATATTTTCATTATCCTAAAACATAACAGAAATTCACTGAAATCTTCACTAAACCAATCAAGTGACACAAGAGCTAACAGAAGAACGTGAAGCAGCAATGGAGGAACAGCAATTTCTGTCCCTCCAGTAACCTCTGGTAAATGAAAACCTGGAAGGTAAGAGTGAAGGAACCAGAATTTTCACTTTCCTCCTTTTATCTTCATATGGATTTTTTTTGAGTCTGCTAAGGGCCTACTTGAACATCCACAAGAAGTTCACACACAACACCTCACCATACCTTTTCAGAATTGAGGAGGAGGTGTCCATTCGCTCTAACAGCTACCGGCCATTTTTCTCTGTTTGAAGATACAAAGCATATTACAAATTAAACACATTCTCTTTCAAAAAACAAACTGTTTTTTTTTTCCAGTCAGGGATGAACACCTTAAGTAGAATCTTCAGGAAAGCATCTGGGAGGTGTCTTAAAAATTAAGAAATCAAGGAGTGCCTTTGAAAACGAGGAGAACTACAACATGAGGGGCAGAGCTCACCACTGCTGAAATACCAAGCAGGGAGCCCGGCATCCAGCCCTATATTTCATTTACCCCACCCTCCTCTATTCAGGTAATTTAGAAGTCAGTCATTAACACCACCCGACAGCAATGGGGAGAGCTATTCTGTTTTCTGTTGGGCAAATCTGTTGGTCAGTGGAGAAAGCAGATTTAATATCTAACAACCAGGAAACTGCTTTTCCTATGCAGAATTTCATACAACTTTTAAATAGACATTCAAGGAAATATTAACTGTGTTCTCATGCACAGGAACTGCACCTTGCTAGGAGTCTGCCATGGTTCTATGATTTTTGTGTCAGTATTGCACATCATAACATCATGCAGTGCAGGGTCTGCAGCTTTACCTCCTGCACACCTGCTCTGCACCGTTTCCAAACTTACCTCTGATCCGACCACATTGCCACATGGTTATAGAGGTAGTATGACAGGTGATTTGGAACAAGATCTTTGCCAGATACTCTGAGATCCACAGGATACCAGAACTCAAACTCTTCCTTTAGCTTGTCCAACTTCTCTTTCGGAATCTCTGTGTTAGGAAATGGAGCTTCCTTGAAGAAGATGTAATCCCAAACTTCTTTGCTCATTTGATTCGCTCTGCGAGTTTGAATGAAGATACAGCTGAGTCTGCACTAGCAGTAGTTTTCATTCTACACAGTTTCATTTCTGGCTTCTTATTTCAGGGGAGTCCACCCCTGTCACGTATCTCAAACCAAATAATTTCAAACTTATGTTTACCATCCTTTAACATCTCTCAAGGTGGTTTGCCCTGTATTATGCAGACAGAACACATTCCAGATCCAAAGCGCTTTCTGTACCTATTAACAAGTAGTTCAAATGACAGACAACAACAACACCAGTCTTACACACCCTTCTGTGCAGCACTCCACTGCTTTATCTCTGGTATTTATTGTTCTATGCTTTAAATTACCACTGTGTGCTGTGTCCTCACTTCTACGCCTGGTGCTAAGGTTGCTTACCTGAATGGCAACTAATGTGCCATAAAGCCCTTGCTTATCCCACCCCACGGAGTCTCAGCAAAAAGCATTTCTTAATAGTAAGAAGAAAGATGTGATCCACTCATGCAGTAGCACACTGTAATTTTACATACTTAAGCGTGTTAAATCTGTAACTCAGTGCTAAGAATGATCACAAAGTTTGCATCCAGGCATGGCTACCATGTTGGTAAGTTCTCTGTAATTAGAAAGGTTCAAACCCAAATGAAAGCCTTTCAGAATTACTTCTCTTTGTACACACATTACTTTGGAAATGCTTCTCAGATTAGTTATAGCATCAAAAAAGGCATGTTGCAATTCCACAATGTGTGAACTACTCCAGAAAGCAGCTCACCAAATAGGCAAAATTAGAGCGTAAGATTCGAGACAAGAATGCCACAGGGTTGGGTTTTCTGTGGCTTTTGTTTGTTTTAAATTCCAGACCAGCTGTGCCTCATCATCTCTCTGATATTCATCACTGGAATGATGTTCAGTCATCCCACCTAAAAGGTCAGAGCAGTTCTGAGAGCTGTTTCAGAACAAAGGCTTTGTCCCTCTTAACTTCAGTGTTTCCACATGTGGGCTATGGACAGAGGGCTCTACGCCCCCAAGAGTTACCAACTTTTAATGCAGTAACAAAACTGGAGTTTGATCTTGTGCTCTATGTACACTGAACCATAACATTCTTCAGAGCTGTACAGCAGTCTCTCAGCAAGAACTGAGACACTTCAGCAGCCACTGAAATAAGTCACTCTAACACCTGGGGAGGACCATTTCAAGGCAAGCCAGACAGGTACTAAAAAAGGTGATTTACTTCATGTGCAGTTCTGCTTTCAAGGACATTTCCCCCCCTTCTCTCTGGGGACAGCACTAAATTCTCTTTCCCTCATTTTTCCTTCTACATCACTGCTTTAACACAGCAATCAGCAAGTTAATTTTCTACAGTGATGCTTTTAAAACACAAAAGCAAAGCATCAGCCAGCTTGGCAAGTCTTTGTCAAGAACAACTCAGAAGAGAAGCACGCAACTGAACAGGCAAAATAGTGTTACATTCTCCTTACCTGATGCCTAGAGGAGATTCTCCCTGACCTCTCAGGTTACCTCCCTGTAACAGATGAGCTACCGTGTAATAGGCCATGTAGATTGTAGAGTCTGAGAGAGACTCAATCAGCCACTGCTCATCCCAAGGCAAACGGGTACCTGGAAGAGGCAGAAGGTATCAGACAGTACCACCCCTTGCTTACAGCACCTGCTTTCACTTCGCAGTCATCACTTAAGGAGATGCTAAAGAAATAGTCATAGGTTTCTTCTGCTGAAATCCCTTCCAAAATAACTGCCCAAGAAAAAGTTCTGTGCCACACGAGTTCGCAAGATACAGCGTGCCGCCTTCTCAGGGACGTTGGACCTAGATTTAAGTTGGTTAAACCTGCTCTACACTTAACTGCACCATTTTGGATTCCAGGCAGCACTTCAGCCTTTCAAACGATGTAATGAATGCCACGCTCACAAAGCGCCAGGAGAGAACAGGAGTGCTTTCCCTACCTAAGCCGTATGTCCTGGAGCACGCGTGTTCCTGGAGCCAACCCAGAGTAGCTTCGAAATTCCGTCTCGTCTCCTCACAAAACCTGGAAGAACCAAGCTATGAGCATCCACTCCTCCCTGCCCTCACAGTACCTCCAAACAATCACTCCTCTTCACATCTGCTTTCATAACTTACGTCTCCAGCTGTTTCAAGCACTCTGATGCCTGTTTCTTCCAGTCCACTTCACCATAATCTAAATACCTACGGTCAGAACATTTTATTGTTAAAAAACACCATAACTTAGGATGCAAATTGACAGTGACTTTTAACTACCCCTCTGCTTCACTTACCACTGGTCACAAAGGGCCACAACACATTCATCAGCAGACCTTGACATCACTTGTTTCTCAGGTTCCATATAAATCATGGCTTCATCCTACAAGAGATGTTACACACCTGAAAGGGCAATAAAGCTAAGATCTAAGTACAAAGTCTTGCAAATCCTCACGTTTCACTAAAATATGTATCCTCTTAATTCCAGTCTGTTTTACAGCATTTCTTACATGGCTTCATTACTGCACTGCCCCAGCATTTCCTTCCAGAAAATGAAGATGATATTTGACCTCTCAGATGCGTCAGTTCACATAATTTTGTGAGTACCATCTTCATGCACGATGACAAGGAAGGCAGAAGCAAAAATTACTCATTAATCACCTCCCTACCAATTACTGTTCAGTGGGAGCTTTTTGGTAAGGAGTTATTCATAGCAGAACCCAGAATGTATAACACATGTCACAGCTAATACAAAAAAACATGAGGCAAAGAAAAGTAGAACTGAAATTCTGCCTTCCCAGCCCATCCATTCTGATGCAGCACAAAATACCACAAAGTGCTTTACTATAATCTGAAGATGACAATGCTGTGACAACAGGCAAATACAGACTAACAGATGCTGTCCCACTTGCTGTCCTCATCAGAAAATCTTACTGGACATGATATGCTCATTTTTCAGTTACTACTCTTCCTTCTCTGCTTGATGAACCCCAGAAAGGGTATCTCCATGCAAACAATCCCCTCTACTTTTCACTTGAAGATGACTTACAGTTCAGATACTCTATTTTCAGTATCTTTACAAGTACATCAAATACAATAATCAGACCAAAATATTTCCTAGATAAGGTTGTGAGAGAAAGCAGAGAACAAGAGGTCTCTGCTTTAGCCATCCATCCCATAGGTATGCATACATACATTATCCACCATCATCTTCTGTACACGTTTCTTGACATCTTGAACTTTTTGTCCTTTAAATCCATCCACCAACATTACCTGTAAAAGATGAGTCAGAGGAGTTTATTCACTTTAAACTAAAAAGAAAGAGGTGCAGTAGGTTTTAGACCCAGCAATAATTGCCACTTCTTTGTTACCTCTGACAAGCAAAAATAGGAAGCAAGCTTTTGCTTTTCGGAGACTTTTGTTTATTTGTTGGGGTGGTTTGTTTGGTTTTGTTTCTCAATCTTTTCCTTAAAAATAAACTGCACACATGGCAGCACGCACACAGGCAGTCACACAGGGCTAGGCAGAAATTCAAATTGTTGCCAGCTTACAAAAACAGACCTGAGGAATACATCACAGTAAGCCATCATGTAAGCACAGACAAAAAAGCTGCTATCTTTTTATACCAGTTTCCAAATCAACACTTGCAACAACATTGATCAGCTCCTCAGAATGGGACCATTTCCAAAAAAACTAAGTTACGAGCCTCAATTTTAAGTCACTCACTTCTCCATTCTCCCTCCATTCCACACAACTCTTCCAACTGCAGAAGTTTTAAACAAAAAATGGTGAAAAATAAACCTCTCCCTTTCCTGTCCTTTTTATTTATTTCTAACTCTTGCCCTGGCAATTTTTTCTCCCAGTCAAACTAAGCAGAACCACCTCTATTACTTACTCCTTCATAAAATGCTTTAAGGTACACTCTCTCCTTGGCCTCAGCAAGTTTCTCTCTGTCATTCTGGCTCTGGATTTTGAGCTCATCACAGATGAATGGAGCACAAAGGTTGCCATAACCTGGGATTTCAATGATGGGCACCTGAGAATTAACAAAACAGCACCGGGTATTTATTTCAAATCATCTCAGCATAATAAAATCCACACAAGAATTCATCTCCCAGATTTCACTTCAGAAGAGATGTGCTCTATAAGAGACGAGTATTTTTAGCTTGGTTTGCAGCTGACAGCGGAGTTTGAACAAGTGATGACAAAAGGAAAAAAGGCAATTTTTACACATTACCTAAACATTACCTAAACACACTGCATGATAGCAGGGCAAGAGCCAGTACTGAACAGCCCCAGTGACTCAGCAGGAGGTGCCAGAGCAATGGCTGACTTGCACTGCATCGTGCTACTCTGTGCACACTTACAGCATCCATCACTAATTGAGCTTCACAGGCATTTACAAAGTATTGGTGCAACTCCCTGATTAGGTCAAGAATTCCTGATGTCTCCTATGAGATCCCTCACCTGCTCCCCCACAGGCAATAACCCACTTTTATCTCCTCACATCATGCCAGTATCACACTGTACCAGCACTACAGCTGGCCCACGGAAGCAAGGCCAACACAAAACGCTGGGACAGCTCTACAGCAATCCATGTTTTCCAACAGAAACTGATTTAGCCATCATTTGCATTTATTACTATAACCAACAGGCTATCAGGATAATGATGTACTGCATTCTCCAGAGCAGTAATTCCCACAAAAAAAAAAAAAAAAAAAAAAAAAAAGCTTTTGTACATTTGTTATTTCACAGAATTAAAAAAAAATCTTGACTGCAACCCTTCACAGCCCACATACAACAGCTGTAAGAAAACATGACAATATCACTCTAAGCTTCCCAGCCAAACAGACAACAGTTCTGGAAGAGGGGCACCATCCTGGCACGTTTCTCAGGGAGCACAAAGCCACCACACGTACTGCAGGTGCACCCAAGTGGGTGAACTCACCGGCTCAAACGGCAGCACCATCTCATCTCTGATACCATACTTCCCTCTGAGGGCCTTTGAAAGTTAGAGGGGAAAAAAACACAGCATATGAATGGAAGAAAGAAATTTACCTTAGAAGTTTTTTAATCTGTTCCCAAGGTCTTTTGCATACATGCTAATTTACTATAAAACAAACAAAACTGCTCTTCTGCCTGCTCACTACTTCACACATCTGACTTGCATCTGTTTAATTTTCTGGTGACTCTGTCAGACCACGTATGTATCTAAAGATGGGAAAAACACATCACTGGGAATGAGCAGAACTAAAACTCCGCAGCCAGTGACAGCTGCTCAGACAGTGATGCACTTCTGAAGCTGTAACAGCAACAGCTACTCTAAGACTCACTTTAAATTCATATAGAGGTCTCATCTCAAATTCATTTCCACAACAGGAATCATTTCTAGTTCACTGTACAGAAGAAGAATGTCAGTAAGACAAAAGCAACACAATTCCCATTCAAAATCCTTCTTGAAAACAAAAAAAAACCTGACTGAGCTCAGCTAGTTTTAACTTCATTTAACTACAATGATGTGAAGTTAGGGACGGCAAAACTCCAATTAAAAGGAGTTTTGATTTATCCACTGAATATCCATTTTTGTCCCTCCACACCTTGGAAAGGAAATAAAACCAGAAGTCATTGAGAGAAGAGATGAACCTGTTTTTTTTTCAGATCCCTCAGGGCAGCAATGTCATCTGGAGAATCAGAGGGGACACTGGTGACCACTCCCGTTCCTTTACAAAGAAAAAGATACAACAGATAAAATATCAGGTTTACTGAATGCACAGCGTGCACCAGGCAGATCTCAACAAGCTGCTGCAGCAACATTACCTTTATCTTCCTTGATTGTGAGCATAGGAAGAGCATACACAACTTTGTAGCTGGTGAGAGGTGCAGAAAGCGCAGCACCAAGAATCTCCTGTGTGGGGCAGAGGAACATAATTACACAAACAGCATTTCTTCAGCCCCACTAAGCCCTTCCTGCTGATACTCATTTAAACTTGCTGAGTTCATCTACCAAAACCACATTTACATTTTCCTTTTAAGTAGAGTTCTACCACCACCTTTATAAGTACAAGAAAAAGAAAAAGGCTTGGCCAGCAAGCTACAAGATGCTTACTTCTCCCATCAGTTCCTTCACAACAGGCACAACTCCGCTGTCTTTCGTAAAGCCCTGGTAGGACATGTTCCTGGCAGCTCTCTGGGTGCAGATAAAGATATCCCCACTCACAGTTTCAAAGCCAATGTATTTCATATCCGGGCGGACCCAGCAGTTGGTCTGCCCAAACATGGTCTCCGGTCTGAGCGTCGCAGCCACCAAGAAGATATTTTTTCCTTTCAGGCCACTGGTGGGGGGGGGGAAAAGCATTTTGTAAGTCACCAAAATAAAAACATCCAGGGTAAATAACACCAAACGTGCTCTTAAGCCAACATGAACTACAGGTTACATTTCCTATCTGGCTCATTAAATTCAGTGCAGGGCTTGCTTCTCAATTCTGTGCTCCACACAGCTCAGCAAATACAGCAGCTCAAAGCAGAGACAACATTCAGGAAGTGACAGAAGTAACAGGATGAAATTAAATCCTGCATTAGGCAAACCAGGCTAACTTGAGGTCACTTTTGGCCATAAAAGGGATCTGACTTGCTGTTATGAATTCAAGACTTACCTTAACTTGGCTGGATAAGGATCTAACACCTTCATTTTTATTAGAGTGTATTCTTGAGGTCCAACACCCTGCAGTTCACATAAACAAAGCAGCAATCAATACATTAAGTTGCTCTAGCAGTTAAGAAAAACTGTTCTGTAGTTAACCTAAATGCTATTTAAGGCAACAATGCTTTCTTCAAAGTAAACCACAACTCCATTGAAACAAAACTGCTTCATAAAACGCAGACTGAAGAGAGAGGATCTGTTTTATACATCTGTCCAAAAATTTACTCATGAAAGCAGCTATCTCAGCAGCAAAATAAAAGCTTATGTCTCAACAGATGGATATGCTGCAGCAATGCTGATGGCACAAATTGCCAAATACTCACAGGGAATGATCACAATGGAAAACATCTGCAGTTTAAGGTAAGTACTCTCAATAGTTCACTCAATTTTCCCCATGTACCAACAATTGAGAACAGGCAGTTTGGAATGCATGAAATACATTTTGCTCCAAGACACTTTTTTTCCCTTTCAGTAGATAAGAGCCACAAGCAGTGCATGAAAACAACTGAAAACACTACCTCTCCCGTTTGCCTGTCATGATCCATGCAAGGCTGCCCATCTTTTGGAGAGTAAATTGTGTATCTAAAAAATAAAAGTATATGTTCATAAACTATAAAGAAAAATTACCTTTATCAAAGGGAGAACCAAAGGATATCCTCAAATTTTGCTCAACTCACTGTCCACAGATGCCAATGACAGTTACTGCATGAGCTGTCAGTACTGATTTAACCTTGAATTGACAGCTGTGGTAAAACTAAAACACAAACTGAGCACAATAAGCCCCCTGCCTTTTACACCAATAGGGTATTTGAAATAAAAGCCTTTTCGTTCAGTCTAAGTTACAAACATGGTGTCATGCTTCCATCTGTCACCAACTCAGTTCACCCACATTCACAGTATGCAGCCTTACCGTTTCCCAAACTTAATCTTATTTCTTTCTTTTAAGGTCAGGAACTGCCATCGCACAAAGGAATCGTAGTACGGATTAACATCTGTGGTAATGAAGGAACGCCTCCAATCCACCTGGAAATGCATAGGAGTCTCTACTAAACACATCCAACACAAAATTTAAGGAACGACAAAACAGCAAAGCTAATTTTAAAATAAAAAGAAGTGCACACGAATGGCGCATGCTTAAAAAGGCAACTGGGCAGCCTGCACGTCCAGCCTTGAGAGCTGACATGTGAGTCCAGGCCTCGGGGGCCGACTGTCTGGTAGAAGCTTTAACCAATCAACAAAGCTGAATTTCAGTATCTGTTTCTCAATATCTGTCTGTTTTTAGACATTTGTTATCAGTAGGACAAGTATCTTCATGTGTCATCATATCATTACTCCTCCTACTACTGTCAATACTGATTATAGAATGGTAACTTCATACGGAAACAGGGAAAGAATGCCCTGATTTCTTCATCTGATTCTTGTTTCAAGGAGCGACTGACACATAGTTACACTCTGTAGATGAGAAAGCTCTTAATCACACGAGACTATTAAAAGATCAATATTAAAAGATTAATTTAATAATTCTATAAATAATAGAAACACTTTTGGGATAATGTCTTTATTGTGTAGATGATTTCTAGTCCCAAAGGAACAAAACCACATTCATAAATACAAATATGGCTGCTTTCAGAACCGAGCTTTGCATTTCTAACAGTTACCTTTAATCCCATACTTTTTAGGTCCTGGACAGCAAGGGGAGGGAAATAATCCAGCCAGTGCTCAGCTTCAGAGAAACTGACCACTTCTTCATCCGACAGACCCAAAGACTTCATGATGCCCCACTGGTACTTGGAAGAACCACTCTTGGCAGCAGCTTTACTCTGAGAGGACAATTGCAGTGAGAAATACAGTACGTGTTCTCACACTGGCAATACTGGATACACTCTTTTTCCCCCCTCTATTAAAGTTACTACCCAATACAGAAGTTAATATGATCACTAAAGTACATCAGCTCACTGTAAAGTTTTCACATAACAAAACGGTATCTCTTGATCCATGCAGCTGATGCATTTTTCCTCAAGTCAGCATTAAAAGTACTGAGGTGCCTTGGAAAAACAATTTAAGATCTGCACCCCGTTTCTCTCTGAGGAGTGTGAAGGAGGGAAAGCAGGCTGTGCTACACAACTGGAAGCTCTGAGAGCACAGCTACCAATCCCTGTTTGATCAACTTTACCTTTTTTCCTTTTGCTTTGTCTTTGATGATGATCTCTTCATCTTTTCTAGCAGAGTTTTCTTCCTCCTCTTCCTCCTCATCAGGAAATTCAGGTGGGCAGCCATACAGCTCCATTTCTCTTTTGAGTTTATCTGCACAAGCCTAATTAGAGTTATTGGAAGTCTGTCAGCACTTCTCCATATCTATGACTGAAGCAATTACCGAGGATTGATTTTTACTGTGACGCTGTGCTTCCCACTACAACACAAACTTTTCCCAGACATTGCATCAACTTATAGGAGAGCCTTCTAGTTGAGGATCCTGGCTCCAGCCCTTCCACTCACTGAGGCACAGTGCACACGCTTCAGCTTTCCTGGGCTGGGCCTGCCTTCCCCACCAGGTGCCCCATCACTGCTTCAAGCCATGACTTTGCATCTCTGCTACAACTCTCAAACAAAGAACTGCTCCAGCTGAATTTCAAAAACTTCATTTTCTTGGAAGTCATACTGCAGTTCAGTTCAAGAACAGAACACACCTTTCCTACAAAGCCAGGTTTCTTGATAAAGCTTTGAATAAATCGCCACAATGTTCTGCACTGACAGAAAGCAATGCTCCACGTACTTTTAAGAGTGGAAAGCAAGAAGGAAAACCCCTCAGCAAGTCCTACCTTTATGGGCATCCCAGTGCAATGCAGACCAAATGGGAACAAGCAGTTCTTCCCCTTGAGCCTCTGATATCCAACTGCAAACTATATAAAGTAGAGAAATGAAAAGAGAATGGCAAAAAGTTAAAACAGCACCCATCCCAAACAGAAAATACAATTCCTTCCTCCCATTAAACTACTGAAAGGCAGATGCATGCAGCAGGCAGCACCCATGAAGGTGCTGAAGGAAAAGAAGGTTCCAGAGGCTACCAGACCTGCACTGCCTGGCCACATCAGGACAAACCTGCCAACCTTTCCTGGGAGGCTGCTTTAGGCTACAGAAGAATGCAAAGAAAAGATGGAGTTCGTGGAGCCTGTTAATGTAGGAAGCAGAGCACTGTACTTACAAAGAGGGCAGTAAGGCTCTCTGTGATGCTCGTGCCAATCAGCAGCTAGACAAGCAATAAGCAGCAACATCTCCTAAACACCTCTGATCTCTGAAAGAGCAGCACCTGCAATCCAGTTTCCCAGAACTACACAGGTTATATGCAATCCTTTTCTCCCCCCAAACAGTACTATTCCTATTGAAAATGTGGGAAAAATAAGAAAGCAGGAAGACATCATCATTAAGCCTACAAAGTACTTAGCAAGGCATCCTGTTAGCTCCAAAGAAGCATTAGCTATTTCAAAAGTAGCATTTAAGGGTATTGGCAAAGGAAAATATTTACCTCGCATTTGGATAAAGAAAAGGTGTGTCCCAGGTGAAGTCTTCCATTCATGTAGGGGTAAGGAAAAGTAACAAAGTACTTCCCCTTGCTGGGAAGAAATTCAAACAATTAGAACACCCAATGCAAGCAGCTTTAAAGTGAGCATCAAAAAAAAAAGCACAAATAACACAGTTAACATCATTATACGTTCAGACATTATCAGCACACAGTGACACCAAAATAATCTGTATCTTGCAAAAACAGCCCAATTTTAAAGCACTGCAATGACAACAGGTTTTGCCCCCTTATAAAACAACCCCACAGCTTCATAGGACTGACATCACAAAGCAGCTCTGAATTAAATGCAACACATTCCCAGTTGTAAAAGTTCTAGTCCTGATTCTGCAGATGAACTGCTGCAAAGGCTCAGAGAAATCATTTATCTTCCACCGAGTTCAGCTTTTCCATTCAAACACCGCATACAACTACTTGGTAGTAATCAAGCATAATATTGTTGTACAGCTCTTTGAATACAGGTTACGGACCTTCCAAAACATCTAACATAATTTCTAGATCATTAGGCCATTTGTAATTACTGCCTCCGTCTTTGCACTCTACTCCAACCCACAGCATGGACCCACCCTTCTGACGCCACCGATTCAGAAACACACAAAAACAAAAGCCAAGTCATTTCTTTGCTCAGAAAAGATTACAGTTTAAGAAGGTGCTGTTTGTTAGAGCACTTAGGTTATTATACAGGAAAGCCAAACTAAACCAAGATAAGAAATAACTCACGCTGCCAAGATTGCTGTTTTTTCACTACAATACCCACTTAAGCTACTAGTACTGTTTCACAATTCTTTCCACACTGAAAATAGCAATTCTATTGACCAGGGAGGGATTCAGCTGCCAAGCACACTCAATATTTCCACAGCTTCAGGCTTAAACGGGCTTCTCAGGGTTATTCAGGCAGAAATCAAACCAGGAAACACACCTGGTCTACAGCGATCTCTGTGCCAAGGAAAACAGGTCAGCCTGCGTCAGGACCCAAGCTGTGTGTGCAACCACCCCTCGTGGTGAGGCAGAGCAAGCCCATGTCCTGCAAACGGCCTCACCTCAAACCAAGGAGCTGTGCTTCTACGGGGGAGTCATACCTTAACCTCCCACTTTGTCACACTGAAAAAGCTCCTCCACAGCTGAGAGCAGAAGTCACTGAAAAGAGCCTCGCTTTTAAAATCAGGGAGCACCGACAGCACCGAGGAAGGCAGGACAGCTCGCCCCACCCCACTGGGACCAGAGCAGCACGAGGCCACCTCTGCTTGGTGCCAATGTATCACAGCACTGCCACCCCACAGAGGAACTCGACTCACAGAAAGACTTTTTTTTACCCTGGGTATTGATGGGAAGAAACGTTCCATAAATAAAAATAAACAACAAAAAATTGAAAATAAAACACGCAAGAAAATATAACGCTACCTCTTTGGATCGCACCTGTCCACAGCGCTGGTCTCAAAGACTCGCTCATCGTCCCACTTCTGCTGGATCTCCTTCTCGATTCTCTTCAGGAAGCCGACCTTCGCCGTCCCTTTTCTCTCCTGTGAAGCGCGGGAGGACAGAAGTCGGCACGAAGGGCCCAGCAAACACGGCGGGGCCGCAGAGCATCGCAGGTCGCTTTGTTACCGGCTATCCTCGCTGCGGAGCACTACCGCAAACACGTCTCCGGGACGCGCGCACTGCAGCACGGCCTCAGCAGAGCATCGCGATGTCAAACCCCCCCCCCCACATCGGGAAACACGGCCGGCTCTTTCACGGAACGACACCGGGCACCGCACCCGAGAAGAAACGCGACGCCGTGCCGTAAGGCGCGACTCTCCGTCACGCCGCACAGCGCTGCGGGACGGCGCTCCGCCCCCGAGCCGCGCGGTTCTTCCGAAGGCGCTGCTCGGCGGTGCCGGAGCCACGCGCTCCCCGCTGCCGCCCGGTGAGATCGGCCCCGCGCAACCCCCAGAGCCGAGCGGACCGCGAGACGCTGCCGTACGGGACGCCGCCCCACTCACCGCCATGCTGCCGCCGGGCGCGCCGTGCTTGATGGGAGTGGAACGCTGCGCCCCGCCCCGCGGCCGGAGCGTACGGCGGCGGCGCGGCCGGTTCGGGCCGTACCACTGCGGTGGGGTCGGGGCTGCCTGCCGGGAGCCGCGGGCCGAGTGTGGAGCCGCGGCTCCTCACAGAAAGGCGCCTCGTGCGAACGCAAATAAAAATAACGCCGGCTCCGCCAGCCCCGCGGCGGCCGGCCGCCCTCCCGCGCCCCGCCCCATTTGACGCGCGGCTGCGCGCGGCCCCTTTAAGAGCCCCCCCAAACATGGCGCTCCACGGTTCACGTGCGCGCCCGGCCCCGCCCGCTGGAGCCCCGCTGACCTTCGGGACGGGCGCCTAGCCGTTGCCATTGGCCGGTCGCGCGGCGGCGCCGCCGTCTGATTGGCGCGTGGCCGCCGGGTTCCGCCCCCAATGCGCCCAGCAGGCTGCGCCGCGGAGAGCGGCACTTCCGGTACTAGGCCTCGGCGGGGGGAGGGGACCGGGCAGCAACCGCCGCGGGCCGGGTGCGATGCGGGCAGAGCCGTAGGGGCGGCGGAGCGGCGGCACCATGCTCATCGATAACGTGGACGCGCTCAAGTCCTGGCTGGCCAAGCTGCTGGAGCCGATGTGAGCGCGGGTCGGGCTGGGGCGGCGTGGCGCGGCTGGGGCGGTTACCGCGTCCTCACGTCTGGGGGGAGCCGGGAGGGGAGGGCGCGGCCGGGCCGGGCCGCCTGCGGGGAGAGGAGGAGGCGGGGATGCGGGGCTCGGGGCTGCCCTGCCCTGCCCGACCCTGCCCCGCCCCGCCGCGCCGGGGGCGAGCGCTGCCCGGAGCCGCCGATCGCTGTTCGGGCCGTGGGGAGCGCCTGAGGACGGGCACGGCTCTCTGCGCACGGTGCGGCCGGGGCCCGGCGCTGCCTGGGGCCGAGGGCTGTCGGTGCGGATCGGCCGTAGCGCGGGGCTGCCCGCGCGCGGCGCGTCAACGGCTTGTGCAAATTGCTGGGGACTCACCGGCCTGTCACACCTGCGCTACTGCGGTGTGGCCGCTGTGAGCACCAAGGGTCGGAATGTGCGCGTCCAAAACTCGGCTTGGTTTGTTAGAAGCGCGGGCACCAAGGAAGGTGGAACATCTCAGTGGTTGTACGCGTACAGACACGTGTGCTTTGCTACAGGAAACTCTGAAACTGAATCTCTAGAAGGCTTTATCTTAACGTGCCCAAAGCAAAGCATCTCCTGCTCTCCCCCTGTCCCTGTGTGCCACTTGCATATGCACGTGTTGGTGCATATCTTCCGCAAGGCAGGTGGCTTCCTTGCCTTTGTTTCTCGTGGAGTCTCTCTGGCACTCGGTCAGATCCCTCTGAACGCCTCCTCAGGCTTTGCTCCCCTCCTCACAGCTCCATGTGAACACTTGGGAGGAGCAGACAGGTCACAAAGTGATAGATGGTCATCTATCTTCTGTTCAAATATAGCACTTACAGTCAGTTCCACGTGGTCATTGCCACAGAATACATTTTGTGCAGTTTATTTCTTTTTCTCCATGTGTGCATAAGAACTGTAAAATCTGTACATTTGTGGTTTCTTTGTGGTTAATTGCTGCATTCTACGCGGTTTTAATTGGATTCTGGGAACAAGCAAACTAATGTGGAGCAGAACTGCTTGACTGACAGCTCATTAAGAAGTCTTCTTTAACCAGTTGTTGTCTACATGAGTTTGTGTGTTTGTTAATTTGTTGAGTTTTTTCATCTGAGATTGTTTCGGAGTCTGCACACTTTGCATTCTTCATGTTTCTATAGCTGACGTTCCTCTCTTTAAAAAGTGTGTTGAGATTTAAAGGTTTAAAAGACACATTGAATCACTGAACTGCTTTGGGGTGCTGCCTGCTTTCTGATGGTTTACATCTGCATCTTCTTAAAGAGAAGCAAAATGAGGAGTCAATGCTTAATGATATTGCACTGAATAGTGGAACCTAAAGCAGAATCCAGTTTAAGATTAGTGGCAGAGTATCGCTGCACAGTTGCCTATCTTTCGCTTTCATGAAGCTAGATGAGGGTTTTGGTGAGGAGCTTAATGATTCTGTGCTAATAATTACACCCTTTTTTGCACTTTACCAGTATGAAAGGACTAATGTGAAATTTGTGGGCATGGAAATGCTGGAAATGAAAACTTCTGTACGTTATGCACAGTAACTTAAGCTGTACGGAGTGTATCTGTGTGCATATTTTAACGTGTGCTTTTGGGGAGTATTTCTCTGGGATGCTTATTGTATATATTAAATATTATGTGTATTTTAAAACCACTTTAGTACTTTAAGTCAACTACGTAGTGACTTTTCTTCTCATTCTGTAATTCTTGTATGGCTGTTCTTGGTGGCGGTTGCAACGCTTAGTGAAAGTGAGAAAAATGTGCCCTGCTGCCCTGGAATTGGATGTTTGTAAAGAGGCTGGAAGGTATTATTCTGGAGCAGCCTCAGAGAGACTGGGAGAGCTGTCAGCTGTGGTGGGGCGGGGTGGTCACCAGACAATTAAAGTATTTCACTGTAATTAACGGAGGGGGAGAATGCTAGTTCAGTCATCCTGGTGCTCTCGTGTCAGCAGGTGAGCTGCACTCTGGGTTTCCTTTGGTGGTCCTTCTGTAACAGTCAGTGTCCAAAGCACAGTGGTTTTGCTGTTCTTCAGCTGAATCAAGAACGGTTCTTTCTCTCTGTAGATGTGATGCAGACCCATCAGCCTTAGCCAACTATGTTGTGGCATTAGTTAAGAAAGACAAACCAGAGAAGGAGCTAAAAGCTTTCTGTGCTGATCAGCTGGACGTCTTTCTGCAGAAAGGTACTGTGAATCTCCTTTGGTTCGGGGCTTTTTGTTTCAGCACGAGATCGTGTTTCTGCAGCCCGCTCTTGTTTGTGGGGAGCAGGAGGAGCTCTTCTCAATTAAAAGCTAACACTTGAGTTTGTTCTGAAATGTCTCTCGTACTGCTGGAAGTTTCTCTGTCGCATGTTTGATGACTTCTTACAGCCTGACCTGTTGAACTTTTGGAGAGCTTCTCAGGGCGCTTTGGTTCCAATTCGAGGTGTTAAAATCACCTGTTGATTTTATTTGGTGGGCTCAGCGTAGACCTTTTTCCTTGATCGTAAATTCCAATCACTTTTGCCTCTTAGAACATTTCAAAGTTGTAAATGTGATTGAAAGAAGTCTGTGTTTTTGTCTGCGATGCATTTGATGGTGTTTTTTTCTGTCTAAAAAGACAAGGTAAAACTCCACAAATGTAATTCTGTTTTCTTGAACTATTAATCATTAATCTGAGTTACTGCTGCTGTAGCAGTAAGCAGTCTATCAAGGGTTTGTGTTTTTTTTTTCCCAAGGACTTTTCTGGCAAATCCATTCCAAACAATTACTTAAATCATATATTAATATGATTTATCTTAAATCATACATTAATATATGATAATATTTTTTGTTGTTTTCTCTATCCTCAGAAACTTCAGGTTTTGTAGATAAACTTTTTGAAAGTCTGTACACGAAGAGTTACCTTCCTTCTCACGAACCCACGAAAGTAGAAGTGAAGCCTGCAGGTCAGGAGAAAGAAGTCATCAAGGAGGAGGTAACCACATTCATTCCCTACCTGCCTCTAATTTTGAACGTAGCCATCCTGTAACAGTTATGGGAGAAAACGCAATAGCAAAATCCACTTTGTTGTGCTGGGACTAGTGACCCTTACTGTCTGTGTGTGTCTGAAGGAAAATGAAAGGTAATCAGGCAATATATTTTCAAATCCCTGTGTGAAGTCTGCCTTTGATCGAGGTTAGTAGCATCCAAAAATCCTGTTCTGTTGTCCCTGGCAGTACGAGCTGGCACTGATCTGAAAGGATTTCAGAGGTGAGCAAGAAGGAAAACGTTCTATTCCTTACAGAACATTAAAAAAATGGAACAGGAAATGTTCTGGAAATTATTTTAAATGTGTTCTGTAATACTTACAGTTGAATTCTCTATTGAGGATCAATTACTGAAAAAAGTGAGGTCGCGTTCATTTGCCAGCAGTTCTTGTTTTGTCTTTTAACCTTTATTGACAAAATTGAAAGCATTCAAGTTTTTGAGAAAGCAAGGTAATATTTTTGTGAGTATCCAAACCCCTTTCAATTTCAAATCATCCTCACCTGTGTTTGGTACTTCTCTTTTTCCTGTGTTGGTAGTATTCCAAGAGAAGAGCTTTGTGTCTGTGTGTTTTTATAGCATCCTAATGTATCACCTCTGAGTGAAGATGGGGAAAATTGCTACAGAAGTAAATTTTCTTTATTTCTAGTTTATTTCTAGTACATTGCTAGTATAGTCCTAGCACAATTTGCAAGATATTTTAGGCTATGTGTGTATTTCCTTTGCTATGGGAAATATTCAGATAAAGCAGATAAAACATTCCGGTTCTTTCCCCTCCAGGGATGCTTGTGTCAGGAAGTGCTAAGAGCAAAAACTGTCGTTCTCTTTTACAAATGAGCCTTAAGAAGTGCTGTTTGATGCAAGTGTTCTGAACTGGTATTCAAACTTATTCATGTATTTGTGAGCCTAATATAAGATGAAGGAACACCTTGCTGGAAGGAGTTGTTCTGTCGTCAGCGTTTGAACTGTTGGACAGTCTTGATAGTAACAAATAATTGATGATCGAACTCTGGTCAACTAAAGCAAAGTTGTATTGTGCTGCATTGTGGAAAGTAGATGTTATTTGGGAGAAACGACTCATCAGTCCATTTAAATCGGAGCTGCTGCTTGGTCTTTC